AATGGGTGGCCGGACGATGGAATGTGCCGACGGGGTCTGCGGGGAGCGGGGACGATGCCGTCGTTCCTTCCCCCGTCGACGGCGAGGGGTTGGTGGTTCCTCGTAACGAGCAGTTCCGAAGCGATGAATACAAAGCCTCCGTGAAACTTGCTCTATCCAAGGAGTTCAGCAGCCTGAGCAGGAGCGCCGTGGATGCGGTGCTGGCCGAAGTGAACTTCTGTTATATTCGAGCGCGTCCGATTTTGCGTGACCTTGCGAGCAGAACGTGGCGGGCGACTATCAACAATATTCTTCCTTTCAGAAGTAAGAAAGACAAACAGGAGCACCCCCTCGTTCTCTGGAAGCGCCAGCCGGACGGTGAGCTGGGCCCTATTCTTAAAGACACCGGGTGCGGGGAGTTGAATCGAGAATTACACGAGGCTTTGCTGGCGCCGATGCTCCGGATGCGCCGCGAGGAACGGGAGGCCAGAGACTTGTCCCTGGCGGAGGAGTTGAATGAAGTCGAGGCCACGGCGGCTAATGCGATATACGAGTGCGAATGCTGCTTGATGGAAGTTCCTTTCGAACGTATCTCGACCTGCTCGGACAACTTGCATTTCATCTGCTATGGTTGCATCCAGCGAACGGTACAGGAGGCGGTATTCGGCCAGGGATGGAGCAAGTCCGTGGATGTCGAAAAGGCGACTCTGAAATGCCTCGCACCATTTAGCCACGAGGCTTGTCAAGGGAACTTGAACGCCGAGATTGTCAACCGAGCCGTCCTCCTAGACAAGGCGGGGGGCGAGACCTACCTCAAATTCGAAGGTCGACTTGCCTCGGAAGCCCTTCTCAAGTCCCAGTTGAAATTGATCCGCTGCCCCTATTGCTCGTATGCCGAAGTGGACTCCGTCTACCATACTTCACCCGAAGGAATCAAATGGCGATTTCGCCGTCAGAATGTCGGCGATACAATCATCTTGACGTTTATACTACTAGATCTGATACCCCTGCTCCTGATTCCGGTGATCATTATCTTCTTGGTCGACCCCTCTCTTCTCTCCATGATCCTACGAAACGCTGTGCTCAGCTTGTCTTTGAAAGCTCGTCGAAAGACGTTCAACTGCTCAAACCCGGCATGTCGACGGATCAGTTGCATCGACTGTCAGAAACCGTGGCGCGATCCGCATGTTTGCCACGAGCCATTATTACTCGACTTGCGCGCCACCGTGGAAGCCGCTCGAACGGCGGCGGTGAAGCGCACCTGTCCTCGGTGTGGACTATCATTCGTCAAGTCTTCAGGTTGTAACAAGCTGACTTGCGTGTGTGGCTATTCCATGTGTTATCTCTGTCGCAAGGGCCTGAACCCTCCTATGAATTCGGCATTTCGATGGGGACGTGCTGGGAGACGTCAGGAAGGAGGAATGTTCAATCAAGAAAATATCTTTCCTATGGGGAGGGGAGCACCGAGGCTTGAAGCACAAAACGAAGAACCCGATCCGGATGAAGACGATGCTGAAGAACAAGGGTACAGACATTTCTGCGAACATTTCCGGCTCACTCCGGGATCCCGGTGTTCAGAATGCACTAAATGCGAGCTTTACCAAGACGTGGACGAAGAAGACGTGGCACGCCGAGCTGGTGAGAAAGCAGAACGTGAATGGAATATGCGTCAAGACAACTCCGGGGTTGGCGTCGGTGCATTACACGTTAACAATGACTTCATGACAGAAAGCAAAGGCCGAATTCTAAAGCTACAGGGAAAGAGTTGCAACTACTGGCTGAATGAAGTGTGGCATGAAGGACGGTGGAAAACGGAAGGACAAGCTTTTGTCAACTGGCTCGTGGAGCAAACGATCATCATCGAAGACATTTGAGGTTTCTACGTTCTAGCCTCTTAATTCTGCCTTTGTTATTTGCCTTTCTTTTTGCCTTTGGGACACACTAATGATTTTGATCTCCCTACACAACTCTGTTGGACTAATGTTTCATAGTATTGGCGTTATATGGTGAACAGAGTAAACAAAAGGGGGTTGGATGTTTTCCTACTTTCTCTTTTGGACGATGTGATGAGATATGACAATCCTTTGGATAATGACCTGAGTTGCCTTCATCACTGAATTAATACAATTTTTTTTATCTGTTCATTTTCTTTTGTGTATCAGCTTCTCTTCTCCTCGTCTGCGCTCTCCCCCTTGATCCTATCTCTTCCTTCCTGTTTCAGTTTCTCGTCATCATCCCGATTCAACGACACCTGGGGCATTAACCAAGCAGCCAAGAAAAAGGCAAGTGCCGATAAAGCCGCCCCGATAATGAAGATAATGCGAAACCCTTTTTGATATGCCGGTATCAATAAGGAGCGAGCATGGTCGGCTTCCTCGGCAGGAAGCTGGGATAGATAGTTCTGGGGACTCGATAGGAAGGATCGTTTTTCGGAGTCACTTAGACCTAGGGAAGACACCGCGGAGGAAATGAGGTTGTTTCTGGATTCCATGAGCGCTTGGAAATCTGTCGGTTGATTGCCAGCACTTACATGATTGTCCCGGCAATAGCGAGGCCAAGCGTTCCGCCTAGGTTTCGGACGAAGCTGCCGAACTGATCAACATTGATGGCTCAGGGTAGTGGGATAAGACAGACATACTTTCGGAATGAAGTGACAACGGCCATTTCTCGCCGGTCAACTCCAGCCTGTACTGCTATGAGAGCACTATCGTACCCGGTCAGCCTATTTCATGACACGATTTAGGGGTTGGAAAGATTCACGGTTGCAAGGTATTTCCCACTCCCACACCAGTCAAAATACCATATCCAATTTGTTTCCCCAGCCCAGAAGATTTGTCCAAGGTTGAGAAGAGGCCTAAGCCAACGGCCCAGATCATCCAGCCAAAGAGGATGCATTCTCTATATCGGCCCACCCAGTGGACCACGAGTCCTGAGACTGTACTGCTAACGGCTAGAGGCTGTCAGTATCGTATATAAGAGCGGAGGCGAAAAAGGGAATGAGAGTTACTTTGCATCAAAGTGATAGGTAGGAGCATCGCACCCGCCTTTACAGTGGAGTACTCAAAGACCAATTGATAGAAAGTGGGTATGTAGTAGACCTGAACGAGGAAATTCCACCCGTTCACGAACATGGTGAGACACGCGCCATTGACAATGCGCGAAGTGAAGATCCGCATTGGCACCAGGGGCACTGATGTGCCTTTCCACTGCCAAAGGACGAACGCAACGCATATGGCAAAACCCACAACAAGAGTGGTGATTACATGTGCCGACTGCCAGGGATACTCGCCTCCACCCCAGGTCAAGCCCAGCAGCAGCACGGCGGTGCCACCGAGGGCGAGAACGACGCCAAAGAAATCAATTGCCTTAAGTTTGACCTTCCAATCGCCGGTGACCTTGCGCAGTGGCATGAAGAAGAGCACGCTCAGGGTAGTAATTGCCGCGAGGGGAAGATTGAGACGGAAGATCCACCGCCACGAATCCTCGTTGATTGAGGCTAGGGCACCTCCAATTACCGGACCGATGCCGTTGGCAAGGGCGACGACCGCACCAAGAATCCCTTGGTATTTGCCTCTTTCACGTAGCGGCACCACGTCACTGACAATCATTTGAGCGACAGTCATGAGACCACCACCGCCGACACCGGTGAAGGCTCGGAAGATGATGAGCTGGGTTGCGGTTTGAGCCAGCGAGGCGGCCAGGGATCCGAAAAAGAAGATCCCTAGGCCGACGAAGAGAACCAGTTTGCGTGACCAGACGTCGGAAAGCCGACCATATAAAAGCTGAAAGCAGGTGGATGTACTAATGAGTGTCAGATCATATCTTCTTTGTTGACGGTGGGGTAAATCGACTTACACAAAGTAACCACCAGATATCCACGACGTCTGGTCACTGGCATGCAAAGCATTGCCAATGATAGACAAACTGGCGGCTAAGGTAGTTTGATCCATCAAGGCTATGAGGTCGACCGTTGAACAGGCCAGGAATATCTAATTCGTCAACTTGGTGCCGAGTGAGGGCACTTGTGGCTACCTACCGTGATGATGGTGCTCTTCGGCACATAGTTGGTCTGCTCATTGAAAAGGTGCACAGAAGGCTTGGACTCACCATCCGTGTCGGCAGTTGCAGATGAATCAGATAGATCGGAGGCATTTGCCTTGGACTCGAGAACAGTTTCAGTCATCGTTGTCGTTGTGTATCCTTGCCCGATGTTTGCGAGTGACCAGCTTCTGCCGAGGGCCATTTATTTCCTTTAAGACCGCGGGACCGTGGGGAGGCCATGAAGGACCGCCGACCGGTGGGAACATGCTGGGCAAAGCTAAGCGAGGATATTCATGAAGATCAGATAAACCTCGAACAAGCCGCCAAGTGAAAGAGGGTCTCGGACTAGACGTGTTGATACGGCCAGTTAGGGTTCTGGAAGGGATCAGCATCCTGGCCGCAAACCTGCTCAAAAAGACTCAACAAGGTACTCGCGACGCATGGCTTGCCAAGAAAGTATGTCGATATGGGCTGCCGTGGCCTTTGAGGACCTGTGGTGTGAAAGTGCTATCCGCTGCCTTTCCAAGGACCTTGCGGTATCACCGTGCGTAGATCTTTCTCATCCTGGCCTGACTTACTGTCTCTAGAAGACCGGACTGTGAAGATCCTGCCCAGCCTGACACCCTGAGGACATGGCGACTAACTTTAATCTCCTTTTCTTCGCCATCCTGATTCGGCTACGGCTTCCACTCTGAGAAATATCCCACCGTCGATGGCGCTCCGATCGCTTTTGTCAGGCGGGAAATGGCTCTTCCTCATGCCCGGGGATTTCCTCCAGGGGAAATGTGACTATATGATGCATGAGTCTACTGGAATGTGGGTCACACCACCACGCAGCCCGTCAAGAAGGAACAATATGCACGGAGGGGTTGCTGCAGAACTATAACTTGAGGCCATTGCCCCTCCACGTAGCCTGATCGATCTGTCACCAGAGCTCTTGCAGATATTCCCTCCCTTGCATCCAGTGCATTTGTGCCACGATGTCTAATCTCAACGAACGCAATGTGTACTTTGGTCCGGATTCTCTGAAGAAATACTTCGATCCCGACTCACAGCCCCCTCTACCATTGGTTGAGCTGCCGGAGCATCTGAACCCTTACCGTCAAGATGGTGTACGCATCTATGCGAAGATGATGACCATGCATCCGGCCAATAACGTCAAAGCAATGCCCGGTACGTACCTGTCGGAGCGTTTGATGGCATCCCGGTACTAACCTAGCGGCCCATAGCTATGAATATGCTCGAATCGAGTGTGGTGCCGGGAAAAACAGATACCATCATCGAGTACAGCTCTGGTTCTACAGTGATTTCGATGTCAATGATCGCTCGGGTCATGCATGGCATTAACGACACCCGCGCCTTCCTCAGTAACAAGACCAGCGAGGCCAAGCTGAGATTGATGCAGTTCTTCGGCCTCAACATCACTCTGTTTGGGGGCCCCTCGCAACCCGAGCCCTTCGACGAACGAGGTGGCATCCAGAGTGCCCGAAACAGGTCTCTACAGTCCGAACAGATCCTCAACCCCAATCAGTACGAGAATGACGAAAACTGGCGGTCCCATATCCGTTGGACCGGGCCACAGATATACAAGCAGCTACCAGAAATCACCGTACTCTGCGCGGGCATGGGCACATCCGGAACGATGACGGGTCTGGGGACATATTTCAAAGACACCAAACCATCTGTGCTCCGGCTGGGGGTTTGCACTGCCCCGGGAGACCGTGTGCCTGGTCCAAGATCTTTTGCGCTCATGAAACCCGTCGAGTTTCCTTGGAAGTCTGCAGTCGACGTGATCGAAGAAGTGAACTCTTTTGACTCGTTCTCGCTGTCCTTGGACCTATGTCGGGAGGGAATCGTGTGTGGACCTTCCTCGGGATTCAACTTGAAGGGGCTCTTCCAGATGATCGAAAAGCGTCAGGCTGCTGGCACGCTGTCCGAGTTGGCAGGGCCTGATGGTACTGTCCACTGCGTATTTCTGTGCTGCGACCTGCCGTATCAGTACATTGGCGAGTATTTTAGCAATCTTGGGGCGGATAAATTCCACCCTATCCAAAATGAGGTGCGTTTTTCCCTGTTTTCCATGTCTGTCGTAGCTGCTGATGCTGATTGATCTCTTACCCAGCACCTCACTAAGGTGGATCTCTACCGATACGACGAGAGCTGGGAGCGAAGCCCGGTGGTTCTTTTCACTCATTTCTATGAGCCCCCCAAGGCGCTAACTCAGAGCTTGCTGAGCAGCATGGCCCTGCGGCCAGCGTGCTGCGTCCTCGACCTGAGAACCGCGGTGGATTTCTCTGCCTGGCATCTGCCGGGATCGGTGAACATCACCCTGCAGAGTCTAGACTCGCACACCCCCAAGCCGTTTTCCGACCCAAGCGTGCTTGAAAATCAGTGGCGGGAGCTGGAGGCCTTGTTCACGGACGCCCAGGCTAACGTGATTAGCACCCTGCAAGGCCATCATGTGTTGGTGATTTGCTACAATGGGGATACGGCCCGAGTGGCCACCAGCGTGCTGCGGGCCAAGGGAATCGAGGCGGACAGTCTCCGGGGAGGGTATCAGGCCCTTCAAGATCACGGAATATGGGGTGATGGTGGAGAGGGATCGGAGCAGGCGTCGTATCCCATGCCGGTGTCTGCCATGGTGTCGCTGCAGAGTAACTAAGTAATAGTACGGACAGCAGTGGCACAGACGAATGATGAGTGCATATTTTTTTTTAATTTTGTTTTATTGTGTCCCATTAGATTAGGTATAGGAACTGAATGACATCTTGGCGATAATCCCGTCCCCCTGCAGAATGCACGCAAATGTGCTCACCCTCTCTTAGTCTGTGTTAGCTGTGTTAGCTTGTGTCCACCCTTCCAGAAATCTGCTCAATTGCGAGCAGCCCTCGACCAATCAGCACGACGGTCTATCACGATGACACGATCTGATAGACGCTCTGTCCTGCCTTTTATTCTGGACGATCCGTGCCTGATACCCTGGATGGCCGACCACTCTCCAAGTCCAGGAGACGACCATCAACAATGCATATGGATCATGACGGATCGGGGTCCGGCCTCCCATGGCTGGACCAACCAGTCTGGCTACATTCGTCGCGGGCAGACGAGTGCAAACTGACCCCAGAGCAATGTGCATATCGAAACGGACACTGGCGATACTGGTATGCCTCATCCTGATCCCCCTCTTCAATACCCAACAGCCACAGCCCAGCCAAACTGACGAAGGGAAAAATGAGATGAGGAGAACAGGTACGAAGCAGACCACGTTTTTGCGCTTAACACCGTCTACTTCCTGATCGCCACGGTCGGCCTGTTCACGATCTTGCATGTCCTATCCCTCTACGCCCCGAGCTCCCTCAGGCGGAGTTACCCCTGGCGAACGGCCACCGCGACGGGCCGCTATCTTTCGTATAGATCTTTTCGATTGCCCGTTCTGCGGTCCTGGTCGCCCTCGTTGGGCGTGATCGGGCTGGGATGTGTGGGGGTTGTGTTTTTTGCTGGTATGTTGGTCTAGGGGGTAGAGTTCTGAGATGTGGTGGTGGCTTTTGTGTGTTGACTTGACTATTAGCGATGACTTTGGGCCCGAAGCCCTACTACTGGCCGAATACGACGGAGCTCTCGTATGGAAGTAGTCCGCCTATCGCGACGAGGACAGGGTGGATGGCGCTGGCCTTGCTGCCGTTTGTGTTGTGGGTTACTCCTGAGGGTCTGGGATAGAGGTATGGCGATGGATGTTGATGCTATATAGGGCTCTGAGCACTAAAGCGAATCTCATATCAGCGTTGACTGGCGTATCACATGAGAAGCTTCAGGTATGTTGACAGAGGACAAGTGGTATCCAGAGATCTAGATTACTAGGACTGACTGACTTCTGGTCATAAATAGGTCTTCCATCACTGGACCAGCTACGCCATGTTCGTGCTGGCTCTCATCCACACGTTCCCCTTCATCATCTTCCATATCTGGAAGGGCGATATGGTCATGCAGTATAAGACGAGCATCGCCTACTGGACGGGCATCGTGGCCTTGATCTTTCAGACTTATTTGACGGTCATGTCGTTGCCTTCGATTCGGTATGATTTGCTTTCTTTGGAACTTATATAGGAAAAATTCGCCAGTGGCTAATGATGAAATAGGAATCGATACTACGAATTCTTCAAAGCCACGCACATCCTCGCCGCTCTCGTCTTCATCATTTTCTTCTTTCTGCACTGCGACTTTCGTCTCTCTTCGTGGTATGTCCCATCCATCCACCTCTTCCTACCCTCCCTTCCCAGCATCTCCCACTCTAACCGCAGCTGCAACCAAACAGGGACTACTTCATCGCCACCGGAGCAATCTACATCCTCTCCCTCCTCTACGCTCAAATCCGCACCCACCTGATCCACGGCCGCCACACGGCCACCATCTCCCCCCTCCCCTGCGGTCTCCTCCGCATCACCATCCCCACCGTCACGCTCACCACCTGGCGACCCGGCCAACACCTCTTCCTGCGCTTCCTCTCGCCGGGCAAACTCGGCCTGCACGCCCTCACCGCGCACCCGTTCACCATCGCCTCACTAGCCCACGACCCAGATACCTTAGGAAAGCCCTCGCAGTTGGTGTTCTTCGTTCGTCCGCATAATGGCCTCACGGCACGGTTGGAGTCGTTGGCGAAACACGCGACGGGTGGGTTCTGGAGGTGTACGGTGCTTTTGGAAGGGCCGTATGGTGGGACTGGGACTGGGGTTGCGGTTGCGGGGCTCGGTGATGCTGGTGGTGCTCATGCTGATACTGAAGCCGATAGCACGATTGTCGTGGCGGGTGGTTCGGGCGGCGGGTTCGCGTTGGGTATGTTGGCTGAAGCCTTGAGGTTGAGATCTTCTTCATCCTCCGGGCGAGCGAGTGGACCGGTGAAAGTGGTGTTTGCGTGTCGGTCGACGGCCATGGCGCGGTGGTTTCGGGAGGAGAGTGAGGCTTTGATTTCATCTTTTTCATCTGCTTCGTCTGGGGGGTTGAAGCAGGTGGGAATTGTGGTGGTGGATATTCACGATACATCGGCCTCTGCCTCCTCGTCTACCTCTCCTTCTTCTTCCTCGTCTCTTTATCAGGGCAAGCAAGGCCACGCACAGACTCAGGGCGATGGAACCAGCGAACCAGACCTCGGAAGAAACAAAGAGCTAGAACCGGACATCGAGCTCCTTACTCACGACGACACAGACACCGACAAGAAGAACACAGGAAGACGAATGAATCACGAGACGCAGATGCAGACGGGGTTGTTCTACGCCGGACGGCCGGATCTTCCGGCGCGGATTGCAGAGGTCCTGGAGCAGGAGAAGAGGAAAAAGGTGGCGATCTATGCGTGTGGACCGGCCTCGATGCTCTTTGATGTGCAGAATGCGGCGGCCGATGCGCAGCGACGGGGGGATGGGAGAGAGGTGGTTTTGCATACGGAGACGTTTTCGTGGTGATGATTTTTGCATTGTATATAACATGTAGTGTTTAGCTAAGGGATGGGTTTTGAGTTCAATCAGTAGAAAGGATGTTTGAATATAATATGATGTGATATGATATGGTAGAATATATGGTATACGATACCCTCGTCTAGATTCTATTAAATCTATCTCATGACTAATTACCTATGCTTTGTGATGTGCCAAGTAAGACGGTACTATATAAAGTAACGTTGAAACCCGAAGAGAAAGGAAGCAATGGAAATGAATATGTGCACCCACCAACGCCAAACGATGTCAAGTCATGTCTAAACGCCATTAACCCAATCCCAGAATATGTGAAACGAAAGATAAGAAGAGTAGAGAGTTTAGATCACCGACTCACCAACCACCCCTGTCATCATCCTCATCGCACCCCAATCACCTACACCCAAAGCGGGCACTGGAGATCAGACGCGAGAAAGGGAAAAGAAAGAGTATTTATTTCCCCTCCAGCAAATTCATCCCCCATTCCCTTAACCGCACATTTGCCACCCCGCCTACCCCGTACGCCGGTACGATCTTGCCCATTCGCGCGAAGCAACTGGGCACGTAGTCGCGCCGGATGCGCAGCGCTCGCTCTCGCCACCCCAGCCGGGCGTCTTGCCGGTTATACAGGTCCAGACCAAGCAGGTGCATAGGAGTACTGGCGAACTGCATCAGGGCGGGACAGGCGAACTGCGCCATGGTGGATTTGGCGCGCGGCGTGGACGCCACGACGTCGGGGATCCAGGGGCTGACTAGCGCGGGAACGTTGAAGGACGCGAAGATCGTAATGCTGTCGCGCAGGCAGAACAGCGCGAACGAGGTCCGCGGCACCTTGGTGTTGGCCGGGGGGTGGCAGGAGGCCGGCGATTGTTGGGGAATGCGCGGTTGGGGAAGCGACTGAGGTTGCGGTGAAGATTGTCCGGTGGACGGGGACGACGAGGGAGGAGGATTGGCGCCGAATATCCGAGCAAATCGCGCGTCTTTGTAGACGCATATCCCCATGTTTACGGTGGTCGTGGTGATGAATTTGGCGGTCCCGGGGAACACCGTCGAGAAGGACTGGTTGCGCAGTGTCGAGGTGACGGTGTCAATGGCGTTAGCGGTCAGGTAGGTCGAGGTGTAGAGGGTGTAGATGAGCAGGAAAGGGGTGCTGAGGAAGAAGCCGCCAGGATGGGAGACCATGGATCGGAAGCATGATGTGAGGGTTTGACGGATGGGGATGCCTTTGGCAGCTTTTTCGATGATGGCCCTGACAAAACCAAAGTGTTAGTTTCGGAATTCTACTCGAAAGGCCAACATTCCTGGACTCGAGGTATAGATACCGGTCGATGACGGTGATGGCTGGACACGTCAAAGCTCCAGCCGTAGCGGCGCTGGCGACGTCGACGCCGAAACGCGACCCCAGCTGGCGGGTGTTCCAGCTGGGCGAGAGGGCAGGGACGACGGGGGTATCTGAGAGGGCATTTTGGGGCATTGTCTATACAAGAGAAAAAAAGAACAAAAAAAAAAAAAAAAAAGAACGAGCAAAAAAGAGGACAGACATAAAGCACGAAGGACAGTTGAGATGAGGAAATGAGATCACAAAATGACGGACGAGAATAAGCCGGAGTCGCTCCGATGCCGGATCAATCAGCCGCCTCTGATTGGCCGCGGCTGAGCGTATATCCCTCTACAGTGGTAAAGATAAAGTATTGAAGATTGAAGATAATGGAGAACAATTGTATGTACGATATATAAAAACTTCTTTTCTGCAGTTCGCCCAACGCCGTTAATCCCAATCATCTATACATCGCCCGTCAAGCACTCGTGTTCGCCTGGAAATCATCCAGCGTCACGTTGACGGCCCCAGCTTGCACCAACTGTCGCCTGTTAGCCTGCATTCATGCCAATCTGATCTCCCCTTGGACAGAACTTACGGCTCGTTGCAAATCATCAATCAAATCATCAGCGTCCTCAATGCCCACGCAGAGTCGGATGAGATCTTCCGGCATCGCGCGCTCCGCCCGCGTCTTCGCGTCGATGCTGGCATGACTCATGCGACAGGGCATACTGATCAAGCTGTTCACACATCCGAAACTGACGCTAATCGCCCAGAGTTTGGCGCTCTCGACGATCCGCTCGCTCACGGCTACGTCGCCCGTCTCGAACGAGAGAACAGCCCCGGACCCGCGCGCCATAGAGTGGTGCAGGTCGTACTGCGGGTGCGACCGCAGACCCGGGTAGCGCACCTTGAAGCCGTGTGACTCGAGGAACTCGGCGATACGTTGCGCGTTGGACTGCTGCTGGTCCATGCGCACCTTTAGGGTCTTCACGCCGCGCATCAACAGCCACGAATCGAAGGGCGACAGTCCGCAGCCGGACGCATTGATGGGGAAGTACAGTCGCTCGCCCAGCTTCTGGTCGTTGACGGCAATCACGCCCGCCATCAGGTCGTGGTGGCCCGACAGGTATTTGGTTCCGCTCTCGTACACGATATCGGCGCCCAACTCCAGGGGGTTGAGAAGGAACGACATCATGGTGTTATCCGCCACGACCAGGGAGGCGGGGTTGGCCTCGTGGGCCGCCGCGGCGATCTGGGGGATGTCGACCACCTTGATGAGCGGGTTGGTCGGCGTCTCCAGTAGGACCATAGTAGTCTTCTCGCTTAGGACCTCGCGCACCTTCTCCGGCCGCGTGGTGTCGACGTGGTGCACGACGATGCCGCCGTTCGTGGCCAGGTACTTGAGAAGACGGTTCGTGCCGCCGTAGAGATCGTCGCCGGTCACCACCTCGTCGCCGGGACGTAGGAGTCGGGTGATCACATCCAACGCAGCCATACCGGAGGAGACGACGAGAGCCCGCTGGGCCGACATGACCTTGGCCAGGTGTCGTTCCAAGTGCGTTCTCGTGGGGTTTCCGGAGCGGGTGTAGTCATATTCACCACCGCCATCGCCGGACGTTTGCTTGAAGGTGGCGCTCTTTTCAATGCCACAATTAATATGAATTCGATACGATGACCGACCGAGATCAACAGCCAAAGCATTTCAGGGAAACGGTGCCAATTCATGTCATGCGGAACATACCTGGTAGATGGGAACGCTGCTGGCGTTGTACTGGTCATTGCTCTCGGTGTAGACTAACTCCGTGGCAATGTTATAGCGTCTACCGGCATGCGGACTGGAGGGAGCCGGCGAAGGAGGGAGATTGTGGCCCTCGAGGTCAACGTGAGGATACGCCTTTTTTAGAGGCGCACCGGATCCTGAGGCCGACATCGCTGCGGGGAGGACGGGACGGGAAGTGAGTCAGAGACACGGCGAGTTCAACGGGCAGGTGGATGGGAGCCCCAATGCGGACTGGAAAAGGGACAATGGCCTGTAGGAAGAGGAATCAAGGAGAGGATGAAGAATGAAGAATGCAAGAATGCAGGAATGAAGATGGCAGAAGCAGAAGAAGAATCACGAATTGACGGTCTTCCCCAGAATCAAATCACGGGACTGCAGCTGGTGGGGATCCACCTGCAATGATCTGATTGGTGAATGGCCCCGGAAGGCGATGTCGTCATCCGCTAGTGCCCGTTCGGGTAAGATGTACACCTGAGGCAGCAAGATGCTTGAATACCTGATTATTTAGGCAACATGGGAGATACAGGCAGACTGCCTCAACTCAACGGAGTTATCGGACTTTTACGCTGTCCTCCACGCAAATGCTCCAGCCCGGCAGGTCTTCCATCGGAACAAAGCTACTTCTTCACTTCATTTCGGAGAATATTGTCAAGCACTGTTTTCCTCTCCTGCCGTGATGCATAAAGGTAGGAACTAGGATGACACTCCATATACAATCGCATGATGCACTGCCAAGTCGACATCAGATTCGTCACGGAAACAAGCTACCAAGCCTACAATTGAAAGCCCTCGAAGACTCACCCGGTATCATCTACTACGACGTTGGGCGAGGCCGCCATGTTGCCAGTGGCACCGTCTTTGTCCATGCGAGAAATCGTCAACACCCCGATGTCTATGTCGAAGACCGACGAGTCTGAGGACTAAATCTGTCTTCTTTCGGGGGGTGATTTCTTGGACCGGTAGCTGATGGTCGAGCATGTCCTGGTTACAACTAGTTTTGCTTTTGGCTTGAATGTAACATAGTACCGAAGATATGGGGTTATAGACCGTAGATCGAGGATTCGATTATGCAAAATGGAGCTCAAATTGCATCATCGGGTCTTCTACTCTTGCTAGAGTATCTTAAATCCAAGGTCCTTCCTGCATCAATCTCTCGTATACACGGAGATATATAAACTTCTATGACCCAACAAACAAACAAACAAACAAACAACTCATTATGTAAGAAAACAGAAACAGAAACCAAAACGAAAACCAAAACAATAAGTATAAGTACTAAACCAATACTAGGAAAAGAAAACAGGGAACAAAGACATACGTGTTCAGATCCTGTCAGGTGATTGACTCCCCGCAAATGCCTTGGACCAAAGATCGACTCTCCACGCTGCCAAATGTCAATCTTTCAACAGCCGGCAGTGCAATCTATTTCCCCGGAAGGGTCTTGACGCCATGACCATCTCGACTATCTTTAGTGACGCCAACGCATCCTGGCTCCCCGGCCAAGGATTGGATCGCCGCCTGCCCAGTATCTCCTTGCTATCTCGGCCAGCCCCCCGACAGTGCAGGACGTGGAGATCTGGCGACCGGATACGAACCCGACGTACTTCTCCAGGTAAAACAATCAACTTATCAAGTAACACGAGATAAGACGCAGCGACCCCCCCGACCCACTGCGGAGCCGGTCTATCGCCAACCCCGCATTTTTCCCATCGCCGCCGTTCTATGGTTTCATCGCCCTCTCGAGGTGTTCGGTCGCAACAATGACTCTCATTCATCGTTCGAGAGCCATGGAGGCATCACGCAGGGTCAAGAAGCGGTCATCCAATGCGTACGTGGCTTTTGTTCTACTCTTCTCCCGGTTTCTCCCTCACCGCTAATGGTCCTTGTCCGTTGCTGAAGCTGCCAACGATGTCGTCGCCAGAAGATCAAATGCTCGGGTTCGCAGCCTTGTAGCACGTGCAACAAACGCAAATTAACCTGCACCTTCGATGACCGCGAGCAGAAAGTCTTGGTAACCAGGGGGTACATCGAGGATCTCCAGGCTCGCGTCGCCCAGTTAGAACGCGGCGATGAGATCTTTAGCCCGCAGAGTCACGAACCCGACCCGATTCCTGATGATGGTAGGTCCTGTTCATCCATCCTGCCCTGAAGTCTGACATATGACATGCTGACGTCCGTAGAAACCATTCTCACCGAACCGCCGAATATCGAAACCACCGACCTGACCAACCCCCTATCCAGCGGGCCGTCGACCTTCATGACTTCGGCCACCGGCCGGACCTGTAAGTCTCTGCCTACGGTTGTCACCCCCCAACTGGAAATGCAGCTCACCGTCCAGTCTATCTAGGAACGTCCTCCAACTGGTCCTTTGCCCGCAAGATCCTCAGTATGACCCACGAGCACCTCTATCAATCCCCACTGCCCACGGGGAGTCTGAGCTTCGACGGGACGGCGTATGACCTGGGATGGGACGGGATGCGGCTGGGAATGCCCGAGCTGCCCATGGCCCCCACCCTCGACTTCTCCCTGTACCTCATCACGGCCGTCAAGTTCCACGCCGGCCAGCTGTTCCATCTGTTCGACGAGGAGAGCTTCATGGGCGGGCTGTATGCCTTCCACGAGGACCCGCATCGGCAGATGGCCACGTCGGGGCTCTGGTACATTCACTACCTGCTCATCCTGGGCTTTGGCAAGGCCTTTGTCGTCCAGAAGGCGCAGGACGGTCGTCCGCCGGGGTGCGAGTTCTTCATCAAGGCGCTGCAGCTACTGCCCGATACGACGCGGCTGTCTCGCGATCCCATCGTTGCCACCGAGATTCTATGCTGTATCGCGTTGTATCTGCAGTCAATGGACTTCCGGAACTGCGCGTATGACTATGTATGTTCTGGCTCAAACTTTGCTGCGTCGCTTAGAAAGCTAACCGGATCAGATCGGACAAGCCCTGCGGATAGCCCTGGCGCAGGGCATGCACACCAACATGCCGGAGCATCTCGGGTACGCTACCGTGCAGCGATGCCGTCGTATCTGGTGGACGATCTATATCCTGGACCGCCAGATGACCTCGCTGATGGGGCTGCCGCAGTCCATCCAGGACGACCAGGTGTACGATCTAATGCCATCGTACCCGGGGTCGCCGCAGCGGGCGGCGGCATTGAGCATGCAGATCAAGATGTGTCAGATCATTGCGGAGATCAACCGCTGTAAGTCCTGTCTGTTGTCGTTCCTGTCTACGGTGCGTGTTTAACCATGACCAGCGGTCTACGGCCCCGATGGTCGGTTAAATCGGAAATTCCTGGTGCGCACCAAAACGGCGCTGGCCAGCACGGCGGATCTGGCGAACGAGCTGCGACGGTCGCATGACCTGCGGCTCGAGGAGGCATCTATCAGCGGTGTCTCGCGGCTGTCGGCGCATCTGCATTTGCTTTATCATCAGGTATTTCACATTCTGGTGGTTGAGAAAGACATCGTCTAACGGATATAGTGCATCGTCCTGGCCACCCGACCGCTACTGTTCTGCTCTCTCAAAATCCGTCTCCAGTCCCCTGAACGCTGCATGGCGCTGCAGTCGTCGCCGACCGTGCGCAAGCTGCTGCAAGTGTGTCTGGATTCAGCACAACAGATGCTGAATATCCTCGCGAGTCTACACGAGCAGAACCTCCTCGGTACGCCTCTCCCCTCCCCTCCCCTTATAATAGAAAGCCATCAAACTAATAGAACATCCTGAAACAGATAGTTTCCTCCCCTTCGACCTCGAATCGACGTTCGTCTCCAGCGTCATCCTGCTGGCCGCGGGACCCGCGACGGCCGGACTGCTCGACCCGGGGCCCAGCTGGCTGGACCGGGGGGCGCCGATCCTCGACGAGATGGTGGCGCGCGGCAACCGCATCGCGGCGTTCCATCGCGGCGAGCTGGAGCAGCTGCGCGGGACGCTGGGGCAGCTGGACGACGGCACGGGCATGCCGTCGCCGCAGATGGAGTGCGGGATGCCGGAGGGACTGACGACGGCGGAGATTCTGGCGGTGGCGGAGTCGATCGATACGGGGGATGTGGATTGGATCGCGCATGCGGTGACGGAGAATAGTATTTGGTGATGGATGTAGATCGGATGTATGTATGGTATGAAGTGATGTCTTATGTCTTGTTTCTCATATCTGTTTGTCAATATCGATATCAGTGTATGTCAATGTCATCTATACTAGATGCATGGTCATCTAATCCACAAACACCATAACAGAAAGAAAACCGTCATCTGTTAAATGAAAGGATAATCCACAGTAAAAGATCAATGGCAAGCCTGTATTCATTCTAATCCAACAACCCAACAACCTACAACTTATTCGCCCTCCCCTCCTTCTTCAAATCCCTCAACTCCATCGAACTGCCCAACCGCCAACTACTCTCGCCCTTCCACTCCCCATTCCCATCTTCTTCCTTCCACGCCCATCGATCCACCTTCTTCCCCCCGAGCAAATCCACCACCCACTCCCCAACCAACGGAAACAGTTTCATCCCATGCCCCGAATCCCCCGACACCACCACCACACTCTCCTGACTCCCCGGCACATAATCAACAATGAAATCGCTATCCTTGGTATCCGCAAACCAGCACAGCATGGGCCGCACGAACGGCCGCTCCGCCAGATCCGGGAACGTCTGGCGCAGCAACGCCCGCATCTTCGCCTGGTCCTCGCGCGGGAGGAACGGCTCGTACTCCGGTCGGGACACGCCCGTGTGCGCATCCGTGTTCACGATCCCCCCGCCCATCGGGCACAGCTTGAGCAGGTGGTTGTCCGTGTCGGGTTCGAAGAAGAAGCCCAGATCGCGCGCGTACGTCACGGGGAGACCGCGCAGCTGGGCCGCCTCGGTGGGCGTGAGTTGGATGTGCGCCACGGACCAGGCTTTGGCGGTGATCTGGCGGTTCAGGGCCGGGAGGAGCGGCGAGACGCCGGCGCCTGCGGTGACGATGACTTGTCGCGCGGGGAGGAAGCCGCCGGAGGTGAGTTTCACCCCGGTGCATTTCCCAGTCCCCTTGCTGGGGGAGTCATAGACCAGCTCTGCCACCCCGGCGCCTAACCACACCGGTACGCCGGCCTTGCGGACCGCCTCGTAGACGGCGACCAGGGCTTTCGCGGAGTGGCACCACCCGTCTAGTTTGTTCAGGTAGCCGTGCCAGCCGGGCATGGCGCCGCGGTAAGGGCCCATGAGGTGCGGTTTCGCGGCATCCTCGTGGCCCAGCGACACGACGTGTGGGTTGATGGCGGCGTGCGAGTCGGCGGACGCGCGGAACCGGTTCAATGTGTCGATGGCGGGTTGGGGGGCTTTGCTGGAGACGCAGTGCAGGAAACCGGTTTGGTGGAAGTTTCCGGCAAAGGGACCTTCGGACCAGGCGGAGATGGCTTTCTAGAGAGGGGAGAGAGGGGTGGTTAGCAATTGGCAATTAGCGGTGATGTTGGTGGGGTTGTGGAGATATAGAGTGTAATGCGGGGAAGACGGAGAGAACGTAGAAAAGAAAGAATAAGAGAGAGAAAGAAGGGAAAATACCAAAGTCAGGTCCGTATAGAATGGATCCTCATACTCTGCCCGCACAATCTTATTCAAATCATTCGCGGCCGACGACCGCGGGGGCATCTGCGTGTCCTGCTCCAGCACGAGAATCTCGTCGGGCGACACTTTCTGCGAGAGATGCAGCGCCGTGGAGAGGCCGAAGGCGCCGGCGCCGACGATGATGATGGGAGGGGCCATGGTGGTTCTAGTGTGATTGAGAGTGAGAGAGTTAGGACTATGGAACAATGTGAATTGGTTACGAGGAGAGACAGAGGGATGTCTTTATATCTTCTCTACAGCTGCTTCTATCTTTGATGGAGCTGCAGTTGGAGATCGGAAGACTCTCCGCACCGGGAAGCTTCCCGAGGGTCTCTTTAGCCCTAGTTTCAGCTACAGGAATAGCTCTCCATAGCTCTAGATTCTAGATTCCATTTTGATAACATCATCGCAATAACAAAACTAACTAAAGACAAACATCGTATGACATGACATGACATGATAAAAATGATACAATTACTGGTTGCTCGGGTACTCGAATCCGTCAATCTCGAAGTACTCCTCCTTGATCAATCTCGGACTGGTGAACCGACGCAGCAGATCCGAGCTGCCCGCGCGGTCGTTGGTACCGCTGTTCCTGGCGCCTCCGAACGACTGCTGACCGATGAGCGCCGCCGTCGTCTTGCAGTTCAGGTACAGGTTGCCCGCGGAATACCGCAGCTTGTCCTCCGCCTCGCGCAGCGCTTTCCGGTCCTGCGCGAAGATCGCACCGGTCAGCGCGAACCCGCCGCCCGACTGGTCCACCGTCTTCAGCAGTCCGCTCCACTCCGCGTCGGGGTAAACGTAGACGACTAGCACGGGGCCGAAGATCTCCTTCTCAAAGAGCGCGTGGTCGGGCGACGACGCCTGGTAGACGGTGGGCTTGACGTAGAAGCCCACCGAGTCGTCGTACGTGCCGCCGGCCAGCGTCTTGAGGGATGAGTCGGCGTTGCTCTCGTCGATCACCTGGCGGATGCGCTCGAACGAGCCGCGGTGGATGACGGGGCCCATGAACGCGCCCATGTCCTTGTCGGGGTTGCCGATGGTGATGCGCTCGACGCCGGCCTTCAATTGCGTCAGGAACTCGTCCGCCTTGGACGCCGGCAGGTATAGCCGCGAGGTGGCGCTGCACTTCTGGCCCTGGTACTCGAAGGCGCCGCGGATGGTGTGGTTGACGGCGTTGGTGATGTCCGCCGACGGGTGCACTAGGTGGAAGTTCTTGCCGCTGGTCTCGCCCACCACGCGGGGGAACTCGCGGTAGGTGTTGGCCGCAATGCCCTGCGCCACGCGGCCGTACAGCTGGCGGAACACGGCCGACGAGCCGATGAAGTTCAGACCCGCGAACTCGCGGTGCGACAGTGCCACGTTGGTCACTTCCTCTGCGTCACCGGGAACCAGCTGGATCACGTCCGCGGGGAGCCCGGCCTCGCGCAGGATGCGGTGCACGATCGTGCTGGCGTAGATGCCGGCGGGCGAGGGCTTCCAGAGCACGACGTTGCCCATCAGAGCGGGTCCGGAGACGAGACTGCCGCCTAGGGCTGTGAAGTTGAAGGGGGAGACGGCGTAGACGAAACCTTCAAGGGGGCGGTAATCCACGCGACTGTCCTGAATCAGCATTGATCATTCCTGATTTTTATCCCTTCAAAAAGAGAGCAAAAGAGAGAGAGAAATACCTCCACATGCCATCCGTTCCACGATCGGGCTGCTTCTCCAGAATCTCCGCAGCGTAATGGCAGTTCAGACGGAAGAAATCCGCCAACTCGGCCGCCGCGTCGATCTCACCCTGCCAGACATTCTTGCCCTGCCCCAGCATCGTCGCGGCGATCAGCTCGTAGCGGTACTTGGTGGTGGCCAGCTCGGCGGCGCGCATGAAGATGGCAGCGCGGTCGACGAACGGCGTTTCCTGCCAGCTCTGCTTGGCCTCCAGGGCGGAGTCGATGGCCGAGGCCACCTGCTCGGGCGAGGCATGGGGGTAGTTGGTGAACTGCACCGCATGCTCGGCGGGCAGGGGCTGCGAGGTCGACTGCGTGGTGGCCTGCACCTGGTTGTTGTAGACGACGTCGCTGGTGACGGGCAGCCGGGCGCGCAGGTTCTTGAGGGCGGCTTCGACCTTGGTCCGTTCGGGGGACCCGCGGGTGTATGTGGGCTGGTCAACAGTCAATTGACTTCTCACTAAAAGTCTCGAAGTAAAGAAAACTCACGTTGGGCTCGTTGCGCGCGGCGGGCAGACGGAAAGGCGCCGTCACTTTGCCGCGAGTCTGCGTCTGCAGCGCCCGAGCGGGGAGAACTCGGGGACGAGCAATGAGTCTGGAGGCCATGATGTAGAAGGTGAAGGCGAGGAGAAAGGTAAAGAGATTGAAAGTGTGTAAGTGGAAGAAAGTAACAAAGTCGAGCTCCAACAGCTTCTCTGCCAGCCTTTTATCCTGCAGAAGCCGCGGAGCAACGACGTAACACAGGCCGGGGAGGCATCCGACTCGGGAGGAGAACCGATCCCCACAAAAAGGAGAGAGCTACAGTATACGAAGTACAGCTACCGGGCATGATAGAATAAGATAATAATAAAAAAGATAAACAACAGGAAGTACCCCGAGGAAAACTTCCCCGTCAACTCAGCAGAATGACCTCCCTCTGGCCCGATCTCGCTGCGGCCTCCCTCTCCGCCTCGTTGATCTCGCCCGTCATCGCTCTGATCGGTAACCCTAACTTCTCTTGCATTTAGTGTCTACATTGACTGAACTGTAACTAGACAAGTCTCTCATCCCCAAGAATAACTCCCCCGCTCTCCCCGCAAGACCCAAGCCCCCCGTCTCTCTCGCCCGCCCCTTCGGCATCGTCTGGACTCTCTATGCCACCACCTACACCGTCGCCAACACCGGCGACTCGCTGTCCTCGCGCGTCCAGTACCAGCATGCCGCGCTGCTGGCTAGCGCCGCCACCATCGCCGTGAACGTGCCGCTGGGGATCTGGAAAGATCTGCGGTTTGCGCAAATGTTCGCGGGGGGTGCGACGGCGGTAACCACGGCGGCGAAGACGGCGCAAGAGGCCGTCTCCACGGTGTCGAAGGAAGTCGTCGGGAAGGAGATCTCGAAGATGGGTATTGGGTCGGGGAGATGGAAACCAGCAAGCGCAGGAGGAGGACGTCTCGCTACAGGGGCCTTCCTCATGCGCGACGTCATTACCATTGTCGCGTCGTTTACGCTGGCGCCGCGATGCGCAGAGTACCTGACTACGTCGGGTATGTTGGACTCGGAATCGAGTGAGAACCACGGGGCACTCGCGATGAAGACGAAGATGGAAGCGCATCCCCATGAAATCTCCCAAAAAGCGACCATCATCGCGCAATTGGCTGTCCCCGTGCTGTCGCAAGTCGTCGCCACGCCGGTGCATCTGGTCGGGTTGGATAGTTTCTCGCGACCGATGGCCAGCTGGGCCGAGAGGATGGCGTTTGTTCGGAAACATGTGTTGCCGACGACGGTGGGACGGTGTTTGAGGATTATTCCGGCCTTTGGGGTGGGTTTGGTGGTGAATACGGAGTTGCGGTTGTTTTTTGCCTAGACTTTTTGCTTGATTGTGATTGTGTATAAAGAGCTACGAAGATATGGGCTTCATACATACATACCTCCAATGTATCAGTATCGGTATCCACTAGGATCTCCTAAGCTCATCCGAGAGAAAAAAGAAGATCAATCAATAGACTTACGACTATGGGCTTGTGTTCACCGCAATGTCATAAATTCATTCTTCCTTTGTCCCTGCCTGTCTATACTAAACGATTCTAAGCTCATCCGAGAGAGAAAGAAAGAAGACAATTTAATCGCGATCTCCCATCCCTCTCGCTCTCTCCACTGCCTCTCGCATTCCCCGTCCCAATACCCCCCGAAGACTGCCCTCCTCCAACGCCATCACGCCCGCCATCGTACATCCCGCCGGCGACGTGCCCTGGTCGCGCAACTCGGCGGGACTCAGTCCGCCCTCTTGCATCATGGCCGCGCTGCCCTTCATGGCCTGCACTACGGTCATGCCCGCTACGTCGCGCGGCACCCCCGTGGCCACGGCGGCGTCGATCAGGGCGTCGCAGATGATAGCGAAGAAGGCGGGCGTCGACCCGCCCACGGCCGTGATGGCGTCGATCTGCGACGGCCCTACGCGGATCATCTTGCCGACGCGGTTGAAAATGCGTTCGACCAGACCGAGCGTTTCCTCGTTTTCCTTAGAGGAAGAAAATGAAGGGGACACTTCAATGGCGGTGAGCGACTCCGAAACCTGCGCCGCGATGTTGGGCAGCGTGCGCACGATGCGCATCTGTCGGGTCGAGTCGCCGAGGGTCTCGTGCAGCTGGGAGGTCGTCCACCCGGCCGCCACGCTGACTAGGAGTTTCGATTTCAAGGCCTGTGCTAACGCCGGCTGGGACAGGGCGTGCTGGATATCCGCCGGGTCGATGCCCAGGATGACCACGTCGGCGGCGGTGACGGCGGCCACCGGGTCCCGCTCGACGGTGAGGTTGGTGGAGTTCTGCGAGAAGCGCTGGGCTAGGCGCTGCGAGGAGGCGGCGCTCCGGACGCAGGCGATGTAGCGGGTGAATGGTAGCGCATTCTCCTCGGTGGTGGCAGGCGGGGCATTGAGGAGACTGGTGAGGATGGAGGTGCCCAGATTGCCTGGTGGGAGGGCAATGAGGTCATCTTTCGTGCAGGACGCGAGGGAGAAGGGGACTGGACTTACCGCAGCCGAGAATGCAGAGGGTTGAGTTGGCCATGATGATGTTAGATTGTGTCACTTGTGTTACTGGAGAAAACTCAGGCGGACCGAGTAGTTAAGAATGATAGTTGAGTACTCCGTAGTACAGTGGAGAGAAGTGTAAAGAACGGAAGCCCATCCGACGCGGGGAGATCGGGAAGTCACCCGTCCAGACAGCCCTAATTCAGTAACAGTCCAGATACTCCACTGATTACGGACTTAAGATACCAATAGGCTGTACAGAAGATAACAGATTGAGTTCATATCTCATGTCGTATCTCATTTCTCTTACTATTTGCATCCTAGCGTCTCCCCCGCACTGCACTAAGTCTGCAGATCTGGACTAGTCCCCTACACCGTACCCTGTATACTCTCCTTCTAGTAACCCCATCCCAGTCTCCGCCGCAACTCCTTCTTCAGCGCCAGATATTCCTCCCCCGTGCGCCCCACCGCATCTCGGTTCTCAATGGCCCGTCGCAGCAGATACGCCAGACACTCGCCCATCTTCCCCCATGTCGAGCACTTGAACACCTCGGGGGTGCCGTCCGAGCCCTTCATCTTCAGCAGTCCGAAGCTAACCGCGTCCGACATGCCGTGCAGCTGCGCAAAGCCCACCGGCACCGTGGGCAGCCCATCCTGCAGGCGCTGCCGATGCAGCTGATGCGCGCCCACCACGCTGTCCTGGTTATGACTGGCCAGGAACAGATTCACCGACGGGAACGCCTTCCGCGTCCCGAACTCGCCGATCTCCTGCCTCAACGCCCCCCGCGCGATCGTGTCGTAGGCCTGGTCCGTGTCCGCCTTGGTGTCGTGGATCAGCGACCGCTTGTCCGACGCGATGTAGGCGCCGCGCACCAGCTTCAGGCCCAGCGTGAACCCTTCGCGCTGCGCCGTCTCCATGTGCTTCGCCAGCGTGTCCGATGTCGACTTGAGATACGCCTGGTACGTGTTGTACACCAAGGCGAATCCCTCCCGGTTGTACCGCCGCATCAGGTCCAGCGTCACGCGCAGAATCCCCGCCTGGAAGTGCTGCGACTCCGCGTCCACCAGGAGACGCACCCGTCGCGCCTGGCACTTGCTGCCGATCTCTTCCAGGGCCTCCAGCATCTGCGTGGGAGGGAGCTCGCCAGCCGAGAAGGCTTCGGTGACGGAGGGTCCGGCTCCGGTCAGTCTATAGAGTTGGTTAGAGACTGTTTTATAGAAAGTGTAGACCTTAGCTAGATTGAAGACAAAGGGAGACATACTTCACGGCCAGATAGTCCCCATCACCCAGGAGATCGATCGTCTCCACCGTCCCCTTCCGCCACGCCTCGATGGTCGGGCAATGCTGCGCCTTCTCCTGCGATAGATCGTTGGAGATGCCCAACCCGTGCGACGTGTTGGTCTTATGATCGAACACCGTCTCCTTGGCGTAGGTCAGGATGGTACCGCGGAATCCGAGGTCCTTGAACCGCCGCAGCGTCACCTGCGTCTCGGCGGGATTCTCGCCCGCGCAGAACTGCTTGTAGAAGGTCTGTTTGAGGATGCCGTGCAGGAGCGGGTTGCGGTCCACGTCCAGCAAGAAGCCCCGCCCGGGCTGCGTCAGGATGGATAATGACCAGAGCGCCGGTTGCAGCAGGTAAGGTTTCGAGGAGATGGCGGCGACGAGGAGAGAGCGTAGCAGGACGCTGTTAGGGAGGGCTGCCAATGGAGGGGCAGAAGAGGCAGAAGAAGAAGAAGAAGAAGAGGAAGAGGAAGAGGTATTCGTGTGGGAGGAACTGACCTCCAGGGTCGATTCCACTCCTCGTACGTGTTGCCAACGTCTCCCGCCGTCGAGCTTGTACAGCACCGTTGGACTCGCCCGGGGGAGGCCCACGAGTCCAGGCCGGGGAACAGTGGCTTTCACCAGTAATCGTGTCATTGTATGTGCGGAGAGGATTGAGATGAAGATTGACCTCGACAAGTTGGGGATGACGGGGAATCTATAAAAGCAGCGACCATGGTCCTGTCTTATCAATTGCTCTTTGATGCCCCTCGTGGCGATGGTCGACCATCGGTTGCTCTCCCGGCCATCAGTGGTTGATATCTGGATCCGGTGGGAAGACTCCCGACTGTCTAGATTCCTTCAGCGAGGATCCTATGCCTGAATCGAGATATGGAGTCCCCAGATTGATCTCCGCCGCAGGGTTCCGCCCCGTCGTGCTCATCGGCTGCCATGCCGATGCTCTCGTGGCTGTCCTACAGCTGGCCCGGTGGTAGGTGGGTAGTAACTATGTAGTATGTATGCCTCCCCCCCCCCTCCGTCTAGGAGAGACCAAATCAGATGAACATGGCTTCCGAACTTTCTACGACGCCTCCCTGCCCCCTTGTCCAGACCTCCGACAACGGCATCTCCTCGACCGCAAAGGAGGTCGTGGTGGGAGCTACCGGGGGCATCACCCAAGTGCTGATTGGCAAGTCCTCTCTTTGGTCTGCTTGGCGTTACTAGTTACTAACTTTGCATCCTGGCTAGGCCAACCTTTTGGTTCGTTAATCCCATTCCTCTAGCCCTAAGTGTCTGTCCTTGCCACTGCCTCTCACTCTAACATGACCCCATTCAGATATTGTCAAAGTCCGCATGCAAAACCGCGTCGATGGCGGCGCGGTCCATATCGCCAGGAATCTCTGGAGACAGGAGGGTCCGACGGGGTTCTATAAAGTATGACCCTTCTGATGTCGTATATCTATATCTCCCAATGAGGAAGAATACCTAACGATCCAGGGATCTCTCGCTCCGTTTGTAGGAGTCGGGGCCTGCGTAAGTGATTCCCATCCCTAAGCACCCAACCCTATCCTCATCCTATGTCCAACTCCAACCCTAATTTCATCCCATACTCAACACTTCCTACCTCATACCCATACCCATACCATCCATCCCCTACTATCTCCTATATACACCTCACACTCATACTCAACCCAGCCCAACTAACCCACCCCAAGATAAGCATCGTCTACACCACCTTCCACCTCGTCTCCTCCACCCTCAAAGAAACCCTCTCCACACCCACCCTCACCACCCCCCAAACCTACCTCTCCGGCGCCCTCGCCGGTCTCACAAACAGTCTCGTCTCGGGCCCCATGGAACACATCCGAATCCGCCTACAGATGCAATCCGCGAACCCCGCAGAACGCACCTACACGGGGACCGGAGACTGCGTGCGCCAGATCCTAAGACAGGGGGGTCCGCGGGCGCTGTATCGGGGACAGTCCGCGACGATGCTGCGCGAGTTTCATAGCTATGGCATTTGGTTTGCGGTGTATGGGGCGTTGATGGATCGGGTTGTGGAGGGGGAGAGGAGTCGGGGTGGTAGGGGTGAAGGTAAGGCAGTGGTGCAAGGCAGTGGCACAGGGGAGGTGCAAATCCCCGGGTGGAAAGTCGCGGCATGCGGCGCCGTTACGGGCGAGATCCTCTGGGCCATGAATTACCCGTTCGACGTGGTCAAGAGCACCATGCAGGCCGACGGATTCGGGGCCCAGAGACGCTATCGCGGCATGGGTGATGCCGTGCGGCATATCTGGCATGTCGATGGCTGGCGAGGGTTCTTTCGGGGACTGGGGCCGACGTTGGGCAGAGCAGTCCCGGTGTCGGCGGGGACTTTCTTGGTGTAGGTTTTCTTCCTCGCATGGTTGTGGCTTATGTGGTTGTATACTGACGTTCGTTCTCCAGGGTTGAGGCGGTTCGGAAGTCGCTATAGAGGTAACAAACTACACCTAGTTGGGTCTCGGGGATGGGATTTCAAAGACATCAATTCCAGTATGTTGGATCATTCCAACTCCTTTCTTTTCCTATGTACAAACCAACCATCCAGCCATCCTCCCTATCAATATGCAGAGGCCCGCCAACGGTGCTTGGACTTTTGCCCAACTCATCCACGTAAATTCCATCCTTTCATGTGAACATCTGAACTTAAGACCGTCACCATAAATATGCAGCAAACAATCCCCCCTCCCTCGTTAGATCCACTCAAATCGACACAAATTAAACTCAACCAGGTATACAACAGTAAGAATAACCACAATTGCAATCCAAACGCCTTTCCTCGCAGATGGGACTGAGCAGCATATCATATCAATGAGGAATAAGAATAGAACTGCAACAGTCGTGAAGAACGCATTCGACCCGAGCATTAGGTCGGCATTTCAAATGTGCCGTTGATGCCGAAGAATTGGAACCTATAGGGAACTGTTAGTACTTTACAACGATGTTTGTTATCTCTAAATACGTACCAATCTTCAACGTTCAGAGTGGTCGGCGCTGTAGGTCCGCTACGAGAGCTGCTGCTCCAGTTGTCATCCTGGCTAGCTGCATCGATCGGGGCTCCGCTGATGGAGGCATCGAGTCCCTGCATCGGCCACGTGTGCTGGTTTTCCAGCCCGAACATTTGCGGCGGTTGTTGACCCTGTAAGCCAATACCGGGCGGCATGTTCGAAAGAATCTCCGGGCTTCCCTGGGCCCCGGACAGGCTTCGCGATGGCATGGGAGGTTGCGACATCATGGAGCGTTGGTCTATGGTTTGTGGTTGCTGGAGGTGCGCCTGCATATGGAGTTGTGGGTCCACGGTGTTGGTCTGCGGCGACGTCAACTCCGGGAAGATGGCGGTGCCGTCGGGGAACAGCTGGTCCGGCTGGAAATTCTCCCAGAGCGACGGCGACAGGTTGGGTGAGGTACGCGTGACGAGGAAGAGGTCGGGCGGCGTGGCAGGGAGGGAGAATTGCGCATTGAACGGCGTGGTCGGTCGGGTGTTGCTGCGAGAATTGCCTTCGCGCGGCGCCGGGGGCGACCCCTGGGGCACGGTCAAGCCGGGCTGGCTTATCTCTCTGGATGGAGTGAGCGCCGGGGTCTGCGGGCGAGACCGCTCGTACGAGACGGGAGGCGTGGGCCCTCCGTTCGGCAGTCCCAGGTCCATGTCGTCAAATTTGCGCTTCGGCGGATCGGGCCTCCTGACGGGTTGCGGCTGGCTGGTGCCGTCGGGTCGCACTCGCTGGTGTCTTCTGCCCGCAGCCTTCTGGAGACGTTCCTCCAACACTTTGTTCCCAAGAATGGATTCGAACAGAGTGTGAACCATCTTGGCCACCAGCCAGGATTTAGAGACGTCCTTCAGTGCTTGCATGCAGATGTTGATTCTCTCCTGACATGTTGCCACCACGGAGGGCACGGAAGATCGCATTTGATAGACGTGCATGATCAACGCCGAGAACAAACTATAGACACTGTCCATTGGTTTAGCAAGTCTAGTCATCGACGTAGAAGCATAAATCACAAACTCACATGAAGGCTGGGGTATATCGCATCTCTCGGTGATTCTGCAGGTTTTCGATGATCGAGGTAATCATTCCGGCAGCTTGGAAGGCGATGGTACGCGACGGATACGCCATCTCCTCGACCCGATAACTACTCGGCACCGAAGAAGCCGGGGGCATGTGTGCTCGATGCAGAAGACAGAGCGTCGTACTAGACCGAATCAGCAGGCGTTGCATCGACACGCGAGATTCCGGACTTACTAGTAGTTCGCGTGCAGAAGAGCGGCCCAGAAGTGATGTCGCTGTCTTTGCCAACACACCTCCTTGGGACAATTCTGCAGCCAATCCGCCAGAGCCATGTCGGAATGGGTCAGATCCATGGCGTTCATGCGTCTCGATTTCGATGCCACCGAGTACTGCTGCGACAGAACGAGACCCATGATCTCGCAAAGCTTGACGTATTGCAGGAAGAACTGGACGTGAACGGGGTCGGCCGGATACTCGGCCGCAATGTCGATTTCGTCTTCGATAAAGTCATCCTCCGTCAACATTCCCACGTCCGAATCGTCCGTATTGATGCCAATGGGCCGTCCTAGCGCCACCGCTACGGAGCGGTCTCGTGTGAACAACGTCCACCAAATTCGTTTCCATAGCCTTTTGTCCGGCTTCGTAAGTTGCGAGGATTCCACGCTAAGCGATCATTAGATTTCGATTCACAATGATAAACCTCAACGACGAGAGGGTCGTACCTTCGGTGCATTCCCGAACCTTGTGCGACAACCATCGCCACTCGAGTCCAGTAGAAGACGTTTTTGGTAACATCTGCATCACGTCAGCGGACATCCATCGGATTACATTCAAGTAAAACCCACCTTCGGGGCCTTCCCAGTACCAGCCCAGGAGAACCAGGGCCTGAACGATAGTAACGCGGTCGTCTTCGTAATTGGCGTCGTACAACGCCTTGGCTCGCTTGTAGAAGGTCATGGCGGCCGGGGTCGTCGAGCCGTTTGCATCCATCAGCTGAGGATTCGTGCAGACCCTGGACCCCGCGAGGAGAATGGCCTGCAGAAGCAGCAGCGAGGGCGGATTCTTGGGGTCGCGATAATGCCGCATGAAGCGACTGCGGTTGACGATGGGAACCACGGGGGCCACCCATTGGAAGTATGCGTCCACTAGCTCGTCGCACAGCGGTTTTGGCGGTAGCAAGAAGGCACCGCGTTGGTGTAGAATGTCCAACTCCAGGTTATCGAGTTCGGTCACTCGTGATCGAGACCCCCGCATATTGGGCGGCAGAGGATAATGCACCACGTCCGTAGTCCCGTGGCGATCCTGTACCAAGAGCGACAGATTCGACGACTCGCCTAGGTAGGCGACACGACCGGCTTCCTTGATCGGGGCCCGCGCGAACTTGGGCTTCATGAACTGGGCGTAGGCATTGTTGAGGTGAGCCTCTTGCACGGCCTCGGTTTCCGAGACGGCTTGAGAAGGCATGCCGTCGACGATTTGATTGTTCCGGTACCCAAAAGCATCCTTGCCACTGTCTCTCGCCGGCGTCTCCTGCTTCGGTTCGGGTGGTTCGCTGCGCTCTTCGCTTCTGTATCCCAGACACACTCCGTCAGCCCGAGTTCGACCGGTCGCGTTTCTTCAAGGCCACAACACATACCCGTCAACCTCCTTCGGTTTCGTCTGATTCTTCTTGCGTTTCGGCGTGGGGATTTTGCACTCGATCGAAAAGGCTACGCAGTTGGTGCAGGGCACACCCAAACTGGCAGCGTCGCAACGTACCTGTGTGAACGATGGTTAGTGGTGGTGAGCGATGCGACCGGCGGGACCGTCTTAGTGACCAGGGGGCAGGGAGAAGGAACGACGGATCACAAGAATATATAAAATCGATAAAACAATCATATGATATACTGATAAGAAGAATCACTTACTTTTCGAGCATGGCAGGTCTGCAACAGCGCAACACAGCACAAGTTAGCAGACAGACACTCATCGATCGCATGAGCTGCACGACGGATGGGCCGAGGTGCCGAGGCTTCTCGCCGTCGCGTCCACCTCAGGACACAAAAAAAAGGAGAAACGTACCTCACAAGCGCGCGACGCACGTTGTCTAGATTAGATAAAACACCGATTAGCATTTATAAGTTGACACTTAAATCCCGATTGAATTTGTTTGGATTCCGAATCCGCCTTCCCGTCAGAACACGCGAGGTGTGCGCCTCGGGGCTTCAGGCCTCGACAGAACCCCGCGACCAAGCTTGCTGCCTCCTCCACCACCAGCGCAGCCTCTCTCTTCTCTTCTCTCTCGGAATAATCAACACACCTTCTGAAACTCATCTGTCCGTTTGTTCCAGTGCGCACAGTAATGCCGGAAGTGCCCGTCGAGCCCGTAGCACTCGGCGCTGGGCTGGGTCTGGAATTTGTAGAGTCGGTATGAATGTCTCCTGCTGCGCTCATGGCCAAAAGGTATCCATCCAGAGAAACGCGCTGTAAAAGAACTTCCGGAGCGATCGTTAAAGGTGGGTTTAAGGTCCGGGAATGTGAGTAAGTGGGGGAGTTGAGTGGTAGGGAATGAGGAAGTTCAAACCCAGAAGAGAGAATTTGAAAAAATTAAAAAAAAAAAATTAAAAAAAGGAAAAATCCGAGAAAATAAAACAAGGGAATTGAGGGGAATAGTCAAATGCAGGGACGAGGAAAGTTGGCGGAGAAGCAAAGGGAAGAATGGAAATGAAAGAGCGACGCCACTAAAGACGAAGAGGAAGAAGAGGAGTTGCGAGGGTGAAAATACGCCGGGCAGATCCAACGATAACGAACTCAGGAACAGGTCAGCGGGGAGGTGGCAATAGTTGCGGTGGTTGTCAACTGTTAACTGCTCAAGGGGATCGTCTTGGTGGAGAAGAAGCCTTGACTGCGACTGGAATCCCGGTCCAGCCTCGCCAGAAAGGGTCCAAATGGTTTATAATTTACAAATCGTCCTGAAGTCATCGTTCAGTTCGCTGCCTGTTCTTGCTCCTGCTACGTACTCCGTGCTCTGTAGGGACGGACCTCCGCCGTACTCTTCTCTACTACGGAGTACATCCAGACATCTACATACATTACAAGTCTCTCCTCCCTCCGCTGCACGGCGTTCTCATCCCGGCCGCGCCCGTTGCTTGCTTCCATCTCCTTCGCGGCACTTTGGTCCTTAATATCATTCGGGGAGGATATCGCCTGAGGTAGTTACCCCCTGGCATTTCCACCTCCAGTGCTGGCCGCCGGTTCTCCACCGGTGGACCCGGTTGATCCGAATCCACTCGTCCGTTGGGCTTTATGCGCCCCCAATTATGTTGCCCTTATTTCCATCAGGAATGTGCTCCGTGGGTAGGGTACCAGGCGCGGATGCCGTCGCTATTTTCACGGCGGGATCAATCTATCTCAAACACGTAGGTGGGAGTATACACATCATTCTGTTCTCGGGAGATCAGATCCAAGTCCAAGTCATCTGGACTCTCGACCTGAAACTCTCTGCGATCGTAGATCCGCCAGCACCAGGGAGAGGGGACCGAAAGGGACCAAAAGGACCGGTCTAGTTTTTAGGTCGGGCGGAACTTTCGTCCCAAATCTGTGGGCGCGCGAGGAACTCAGGAAACTCACTTAGGTTCCTGCTAGTTACTGAGCAAGTTAGCTTGGGCTCGCCTCTAATCTGAATCGCCTAGCCCTCGACCACGGGCTACGACGAAGTATGATCCCCGGGCTCCTCGTGGTCACCGTCTCCTGCCTTGTCTGAACCCCGGATTCGGCCTTGACTTTCTTTATGCTCGGGACGCATACGACGAAAAGATATTCCTCTCATCTCGAGCGTCTGACTGGTCCGATTCTGGGGACTTTTCTCCGACCACGCTGGTGCCACGCGGGAACTCACGGGACACGTCCCAGGACAGCAAAAGGTTCGGATCCGGAGAAGCAGTCGTAAAGTCAGTAAGTCAGTAAGTCAGTAAGCCTGTAAGAAAGTTAAGGGATCGTGACGGGGAAAGAAGGAGAGACGGAGAGACAGAACCTATCAGCCAAGTAGGAGACTCGCAATCCATTCCCCTCCGGGTTTTAGGCCTGTTTACTCCCCGCACCCGAACGTCAGTCGCAGCCACCGTCGGTGATTCCTTTGCTTTGCTTCTGTTCCTGGCCGGCGAATAATAAGCTGATAAGACTAACACTAACCGTCAGTCTAAGGGCACGAGGATCCGCGTGGTCGGTTCCCCGCATTGACGGCGTCTCTTCTGGGGGAAAGTCATGAAGCTTGGGAAACGTCAGGCGGGAAGCTCGTGATGCCTCGGTTCAAACTATCTACGACGTACTATAAATAAAATGTACCATACATTATTAGAAATATTAAATGATAATTGATAAATGATAGACACACACGGACTGGGTACATGCTCCTGCCTGAGCGTCCGAGGACGAGTCTGTCAATGATCTGCCCCTTCGCGGGGGTTTCTCCATGTCCAGATGCATGCACATGTACATACTTCACTCGCCTCTGATCCCAGTTCTTCAGCCGTAAACTAAACCTATTATTCCAATGCAGCTAGCAATTCTATATCACACATATACATACATTTCATTATGGCTGCCTGCCCCACGATTCGTCCGCAATTTGGACATGGTGGGAGGCTAATATACGATCTTTTCAAACCAAGGCCTGCCTACCGGGCCATTTTCTCATTCACCCCGTCAGCCTTCTCCGAGGAAGCATCCTCCGCGGTGCCGTTGACAGCGTCCCGACCAAAGTGTACTCCGCTGATCAAGGCCTCACTCAAGAACTCCAACCCGGCCACGAAAGTGCACAGGAAGCTGGCGATGCAGAAGTGACTGATCGTCGTGCCAATGTCCAGCCAGGACCCCTCGTCGCGCACCATGTAAAAGAAGTTCAGCGTCATGACGTCCGAGATGGACATCACCACCATGAAAAGAGCGCTGGGCGCCACTTCCAGCCGGCGGTTCAGGATGCCAAGGTTGGCACTGATGATCGCGAACGGAATCAGCAGCTTCAAGATCAACAAGGCCCCCTGGCTGAACGGGTTGAAGATCGGGATGAGCCGGTTGACGCTTTCCAACGAGAACGAGGAGATGGACGCGATGTTGCCCGTACTGAAGAAGGCGGATTGGAGAAGGAAGAAGAAAAAAAGGGCCACGCGCGCGTCGGACAGGCTTAGGGCCCGGTACGGGTAGGCTTGGCCCTGCACGATGACTGTGGACTCCGTACCGGGCTTCTTAGGCACCTCCGGCTCTTTGCCTGCCCCCTGCTCCTTGGCAGGAGGCGCCGCGGTGGACTCGTAAACGGCATGTTCCAGCCGAACCCATGTGATCAGGGTCATACAGAAGACAAAGTAGAACAGGCCCTCGTAAGAGATGGTCAGAATGATGAAGGTCGGAGAGAAGGTAAGGAAGATAATCATCAATCGGTGCAGGTAATGGCTGTTAGGGTAGAGTTGGTGGAAGAACGGTAGGAGAAGCGAGAAAACTAATAGATGACACGGAGTTGTTAGCACCAATCCCACGGGTCGCTTGCTCCTGCACTTACCCAACACAAGCCATCCAACCACCTGGTTACCAATGGGAAGACCCTCTTTCGCTTGGAGAGAGGTGGCACTAGACCGAGTAACGATAAGAGCAAGCAAGACCATGCCGAGCTATGGAAGGGGTCAGCAAATTGATCTGTGTCCCCCCGCAATAAGTCCCCGGGGAAGGGGTCTGTTCGTACCTGGATGCCCATGATTGTCCGCGAGCCGCTGCTAGTGGCAGACAGTGCTGAGGTTTTACTTTGCCGCAAGATACTGTCTTCGAACAGAAGATACAGCAGGCCAGTGAAGAACATTAACAATGCCCCATAGGTTCTATCGCGTCTCAGGATTAACGATCACGCATTCGGCAAATTCGTCTCCGAGGCTCGTTTTACTTACATCATATTAATGTCTTCGACCTTATTGGCAGGCAGCAAGGTAAAAGTACTCATCAATCCGCAGCCAATAGCCCACGAGGCGGAAAGCAATTTGTTCGCTTTGACAACCTTGGTGCCGTAGAACAGAGGCCAAAAGGCTCCCAGCAGAAAGCAACCCGTGTAGATCTCGCGGTGGAAATAGGATTGCACCTATCAGAGGCGCGAAGTCAGCAAGGTATTCGATCAGCAGGAACTGGCCAAACTTACTAGAGCCTCCAATACACCCACAAACGCCAGCGACTGCAAGACAAATCCAACGACACCGCTGGCAGAATGGACATGGCCCAGGAGAATCCGACGGCCTGCGGCCAAAGCTTTGCGACGAGCAAACACTTCCTCCCAGAAGTAGACGGGGAAGAGTGCGTAGAAATAGTAGCGCCAGGAAGATACCTGGTACAAGAACACCGAGAAGAGCACGACAAGGATGGATGAGAAGAAGATAGTGCTCATCAAGGTCCGATTCGAATCGGAGGTCCCATGCAGCACGTGGAGATCGATGACCGTTGTCAACGCATACGCGATCCAGCCCAGGTACCCGAAGGAGATGATGGTTCGCAGGAAGAGCCAGTCATACGTCTGTAGATAGCGCAGTCCCTCCAATGCCGTAAACAACAGTGAAGCGGACAAGTCGATCGACTCCTGATACAGGCCATTGGCATTCAGGGTCTTGATCTGCTCGAGATAATCCTCGACGGAGGTTTCGCCGTCATCCGCGAGGGGTTCGAATTGCACATAGCGCAACACCGAGGCTCTTTTCTGCTCCTCCTTCACGCGATACATTTCCAACACTTCTTGGGTGTTTGCAAGGGAAGCGAGCGCCTTGTCCTTGGGGCTCGCATCCAGGTAATCCAATGGCAACTGACCGACGGAGTTCGTGGGGAAATCCAGTCCGACCAGGTAGGCCATCAGAGCGGCGACATCTGCCTGCGCGACGTCATGGCGCTGAATCTCGTCGAGTCCGTATTCGGACGAAATGCCGTCCTCGTGTCCTGACGGAAAGCCGTCCTGCGTGTATCTCGGACTGGCGACGCCAGAGCCCCAAGCAACTAGAGGCGTCCGCGTGTTATCGGGATGGCCGTCCCCGTGGCTGCCCCAGTCGCTCATGCCATGATCGGCAGTGAAGACAAACGCCGTCTTGTCGTCCGCGTAGAATTCCTCCACCAGCTTGGTTATTTCCTGTACCCCCTTGTCCACAACCTTTACATTGTGCAGGTATTCCTTCGAGTAGGGGCGAAAGCCGTGACCGGTGGTATCGAGGCCGAGGAGATGGAGGAAAAACACGAGCTTATCGTCGCGAAGCCGCGCATCCAATTCCGGGTCAGTCTTGGCGGATTCAAAGAGTTCCTTGACCTTATCGAAAACCCAGATATCGAGCTGTGTCGCATCCGACGTAAAGTCTTCGACCGACTCGCTGTACATGTCCGCATCAATCCTTCCCGGAACGCCTCCCTCCTGGAACATGGCCAGGATATCCGGACTACCCCAGCTCCATGTATGCCGACTGCGATTGAAGACGCTATCGAAATTGACCGGGTTCAGCTTCCACCCGGTGGTCACGGCAGACACATCCTCGTAGAGACCGGCGATCAGCGCAACGTGGCCGGGTCTCGATTCGGTGGGCACGCGGGTATGCGAAATGCCGAAGGTGCCGTGGGAAAGCACGCGGGATCGAATGAAAGGCGCGAGATGGATGGGGTCGTCGCTCTCGGCCTCCGGGGAGGCATCTGGATCCGGGAATGCTTGGAATGCCTTATCGGCGCGCAGGCCATCGGCAACAAAGAGGAAGAGACGTTGGGCTGGAGCTGCAGCATCGGGTTCTCGCTCCACCCGATACGACCTCATGCCACTCACGATCGGACTGACGAAGTATATATCGAAGATCGAATAGGTATATATGAGGTGGAATACCACCGCGAGGGTAAGAAACCCCACGCGGCCGAGACGCGCCATGAGTTCCTTGGGAGGAAATCCAGTTCCAGAGAGTAACAAGGACTGGGCAGGAGACGGACCAATTCCGGAACGAACAAGAAACCCCAGCGAATGGGACAATTAACGGGGTATAAGAAAAAGGGGGAAAGAAGAAGAGAACAGATGGGCAGGCGGACAGGCAGGATTGTCCCACCGCATGGAGTCGCAAGATGGCCCTACGGGGGGAGACTTGCGTGTTTTCCTGCGTGGCTCCGGGGAACTTGGGAGCTGTCCGTCCCCTTCGGCCAATCACCGCCGCCCCAATGCGGACCAGGAACTACGGTCGGCCACGCGGCCACGGAGTGCACTTCTTCTATACTCCGTCTATACTCTCTAGGTTAAAGACTCTCGTATTACTATAACCAATCCCCCAGTTATTACTCCCGCACCAGACGCCTCCGTATCCAAGAAAGATATGCAAGCAGGCGAGAAACGCCGTTTGACCGCCCAGACTCCTGCCAATGCAAAGCAAATGAAGTATTGGCAGATCGAGCTAAATCCAATTTGAGGAACATGCGCGACAAGGTCAAAGAACAAAATATAAAATGAAGATTCCCCCTATTAGCGAGTGGAACTGTTTCGCCGTTTGGTGAGCGCGTCGATGACTCGCGTATAGAATTTCGATGCTTGCTGGCGAACAAATGTAATGTCCACGGTGAGGTATTCCGGAAGCATGTCCACCAGCTCGCGGTCTCGGTTCTCGTCCAACAGCGGAATATATTGGAATTCGGCGGTCTCGAAACTGGCGGCGGCTTCATCCAGAGGGACGGCCAACTTGAAATGAAGGGCTGCATGCTAGTTAGTAGCAATATTCTGTCATGACGGGACAAGGTAGGGGTTGGATTCGAGATCCAGGACACTTACTTCCGTTGATGCCGGTCTGGATACAGTCATACAGGTTGTCAGCCTCCCTCCTCTTCACGTCCCGGATGATGAGACCTGTGAGATCGCTATACAGATCCTCCTTCAATTGCGCGAACTGGGCCGCATGCGCAGCTTCGGCGTTGGCCCGGTTCGCACCACCACCCTTGATCGCGCTGCCGGGTACCTTGATAGCGGCGTTTTCCAGGCTTGCGGCGGTATTTCGAGCAGCAGCAAGCTTAGTTTTAAGAGCCTTGGCTTCTGTTTGGGCCGACGACACTTGAGACAAGGCTTCTTCAGCTTGCGCTTTGAGCTGAGCAATTTCGGCGTCGCGTTCCTTCAACTGTTTCTGCAGGGTCCGACTTTGCTGGCCTAACGCTTTCTGTGCTCCTAGCTCTTCTTTCAAAGAGGCAACTGCATTGTCCGATGCTAGAAATTGTGTCAGCAGGACCGAGATCAGATATCCGGGGGAAATAGTACATACCAGTCTTCATTGATTCACACTGTTTCCGTAACTTGTCCATGTTGGTATTTGCCTCCACGATGCCAATCTCCCTCAAGGTGCGGTATCGGTTCTCTAGAGTATCGCATTTCCGTGTAAGTTCACCGATCCGGCGTCGTAGCTCCGGCTCTCCCCCATTCTTCTCCTCCTCACCAGCGGTCCCGCTTCTGCGCTTTGACGGGGAGCTAAGCAGGGTCGATTGCCTGCGCTTCGTGGGCGAGGACGAAGCCGCACGCGGCAGCACGGGCTCTTCCTGCAACATCGTCTCTTCAACCATCTCGGGTACGTCGGGCGCCTCGTTCTCAGTCTCGGGCGCTTCGTTATCGGCCTCGGTCTGCATGCGGGTTTTCCGCTGCTGTCTCTTCGGCTGCTCTGGTTTTTCTGGTTGCTCTGCCTGTTCCTTCCTCTTTCCTGGGGATCTTGTTTGTCGCGTCACGGTGGGCGTATACTCGAATTCCCCATCGGTCTTGAGCTGACTCCCCGTGTTTCCCTTCTTCCGACCACGTGTACCTGTAGACTTTGCAGGTTTTGCAGCTTTTTTGGACTTGGGGGCCTCCTGCGCGCCATCTACCTGGCCATTGGCAGTCGCGGCATTTTCTTCTGCCTGCGCACCTCCATCCTCCTCTGTCGCATTGTCTGGTTCTTGTTGATCAGTCGTCTCCTGCTCTTCCGCTGCCTGCACCGAGGTTCCGGAGCCCTTTGGTCGACCTCTGCGCGTGGCCCTCTTCGTCGTCGGTTCTGCGGCCGGGGCGGGGGTTGTCGAGTCTGTCTTCGTCTTTGCAGGCGGCTTAGCCTCCGCGGACTTTGAGCGAGGTCTTCCTCTGGTTTTCTTCGTGGGTCGTTCCTCCTGGGTTTCGTTAATCTGTAAATCACCCTCGTCATCGGACCCGGGGGCCACGCCGGAAAACCCCGTAGCGCCTTTTCGCTTGGGCATATTGAGTGGATGGAAGTTGGTATATATAGGTCAATGAAAATAAAATACAAAAATAAACGACGGTGCTGCGTGGAATGAAACTGTGCAGCAATAATTGCGTGCACTCAAACTAAGAGTAAAGTACCTTAGTAGAGCATGACGGGCCGGCGCGTCAACTCCACCAAACAACGCCGGCGGTGAGCATGTGACTGAGGCAAGCCACGGACGGGGTCAAGCGCCACACCTGTTCTCGCCGACCCCCGGCCTGGTTACATTCTTCCCTATCTATCTCCTCTTATCCTGTTGCTGGTCTCGGGGAATTTTTTGTACGGGATTTTTCTTTCCAGAAAGCCTGTTGCTGTTGACCTCACTGTGTCAACAGAATTTATATCCAAATACGCTCCCTTCTCGTTCGCTGACTCTCCGTCATGGCTTCCGCGCGCGGTCCGCGATGGCAGCAATTCCTGCAAGAGTTGGTGATGGTTGCCGGCACGGTATGTCTTCCTACTCTCCAATCAATAGTCGGTGACTAACGCGATCATTATAGTCGGCTTCGGCTTATTTCCTTATTCGCTACCTCCTCTCCCGCCTTGATTTCGACCCCGAAAGCCAGAAGAAAGAAGAACAACGACGCAAGTCCGCCGCCATTCTACGCAAATTAGACGGAGGCGAAGAGTCCGAGGAAGATGCGCCGCGCGGCGAAAGGAAGAAAGACCGCCGTCAGAAGCGAGGCGACTTGGTTCTCAATCAGTATGAGCAGGCGATTGCGATGGACGTGGTGGCTCCCGATGACATCCCCGTCTCCTTCGAGGACATCGGTGGCTTGAGCGAGATCATCGAAGAACTCAAGGAATCCGTGATCTACCCCCTGACCATGCCGCATCTATACACCTCTACCTCGTCGCTCCTCACAGCCCCCTCGGGTGTTCTGCTGTACGGCCCGCCTGGATGCGGGAAGACCATGTTGGCGAAGGCTCTTGCGCACGAGAGCGGGGCATGCTTCATCAACCTGCATATCTCGACCTTGACCGAAAAGTGGTATGGCGATTCAAACAAGCTTGTCAATGCGGTCTTTTCGCTGGCCCGAAAGCTGCAACCCTCCATCGTTTTCATTGACGAGATCGACGCCGTGCTGGGAACCAGGCGCAGCGGGGAACACGAGGCGAGCGGCATGGTGAAAGCAGAGTTCATGACTCACTGGGATGGTCTGACCTCGGCCAATTCTTCCGGCGAACCTCAGCGTGTCGTCGTTCTGGGTGCGACCAATCGGATTCAGGATATCGACGAAGCCATTCTCCGCCGAATGCCCAAGAAGTTCCCGGTCGTTCTACCGCCGGCGCCGCAGCGTCTCCGGATCTTGAGCCTGATCCTCAAGGACACCAAGGTGGACCGAGAGAACTTCGATCTCCACTACCTAGTCAAGGCAATGGCGGGCATGTCGGGCAGTGACATTAAGGAGGCTTGTCGTGATGCGGCCATGGTTCCGGTTCGGGAGCTCATTCGACAGAAAAAGGCGGATGGTCAGCAAATGACATCCGTCGACCCCAGCGAGGTTCGGGGTCTTCGAACTGGGGATTTTTTTACTCGTGCTGGCGGTGTCCGAGTCATCCCACCACCCAGCCAAATACCAGCACAATCCAGCAAAGCTAGCTCCGAGAAGGAGTGGGTTTCCGAGTCAGAAGGCGCCTCCGAAGCGGATGTGCGGCCGTCTGCAGAGATGATTGAACCTCCGGAGTGATTGATTTCCATGTGCGATGATACTACCTGGCACTCTCCTATCTTGTCACATCTACACTTTTACCCGACACACGAGAATCGCCCGCGTCTTCTTACTCCTCTTCGTCTTTCCTGCGCTCATCTTTTCCATTTGCTGAATATAATAACCGATACTTCCCCGCCAGCTTTTCTGCTCTTTCAAGGTATACGACTAGGTTCTAGCACGGCTACGAGAAATGTTTTTGTCTATAGAGCACCCGATCATGCTTTTCGTTCCATGTATTATCATTAGATGGACTATTCAATAAATGATATTACCTTCCGATACGCCTAAGTTAACTGTACAGTGGATGAACGCCTGATGCTCCTATTCCGAATCCTCGTTAATGCATTGAGGTGCAATTGAGGCAATCATGCCGGACTCAATCTCATAATCTGAAGGGCATTGCGGGCCACCGTACGCAAGGATTTGATACTCAACTGGAACACATCGTTCGGGTCTTTGCCGGGGGTGTCAACCTCCCCGAACAATTCGCCGCGGGTGAGGTGAAGACTTGCCGCCGCGTCTTCTGTCTCGGCAGGGAAGACCGTCTGTCGCCGTCAGTGACCCTGTGGCAGAATATATAAAATCTCAAGGGTCGGGGGAACTACACGTACCTCGCTCTGTCGTTTGGCCGGCTGACCGGTCAAGTCGCGGCTGTATACCTCTATGGAGCCTTCAACCTTGGAGTCGGCGGTTCGAGTCCATTTCAGCAACATCACGACCTTGACATACGGTTTCCCACCGAGCAACCACAAATCGACATCATTCCGCAGACGTGAATAGTCCTCGTCCCATCCAGTTTCCACCACGACGGAGGGCAGCCGCTGGGCCCCGGGACGGATGAAAAGGTCCGGTTCTTTACACGATTGGTCGTACGGCGGTTTGAACGTTCGAATGGCTAGATCCCAGTGAGCGACAAGTCCGTCGATGAGATGCTCGTGATGAAGAATATAACTTACGCATTCCCACCTTGGTGCGCAACTTCTTCAATTCTTCGAGCGTCAACTGGCCGGACGCCATCCACTTGTAGTTCTCATTTCGTACCCAGAGTTGATGGCAGGCGTGGATCGCCGTGGGCATAAGTCGCACCCACAGGACCTTGGTGACGGAGTTATAGTGTAACCTGATCGTATCGGCGACCAGTCAGATACTGTGCACCAGAGGGGGGTCGACCCTATTGGGGCGATTACTCACCGAGAACAGGCGCTTTCCTCGTCCTCGTGGACATTCAACGACTTGATGATATGGGAACCCCAGGCAGGCTCAACGTCCGTAAAGACCAGCTCTTTATGACGAGCTCTTTGGATCACGCCCGAGACGATCTGAGATAGTAGTTCATTCTCCGTTTGAAAGGCCGAAGCTGGCGTCGTGATCTGCTCATGCGCCGGACTTAACACATAGGAAAGGTTGGCCATGATAGCGAGGACTCCAACCGGAGTGAGATGCACAAGGCAGAGATGAGAGATGGAAGAGATGATTGAAAGGTCAAATAAGGGCCGACCAGACTCTTTCTCCTCTTCTTTCAGTCATTTTCATCTCCATCCCGCGAGGACGAGGGTCGCATAAATATGAAGGCGAATGACATACGGAGGAGAAAGGCTACTACCTACTTAGGCAAGAGTACCTGCGGGAGTAGGCGATGACGGCCTTTCCGTGGATGCGCCATCCCTGCGGTCATCCTTCGCTGTCTGGTACTTCTTCTCCACTGACCATGGCTCGAAACACCCTGCTTGGACTTGCTTGGACATGCTTCGGACCTGCTCGGCTAACGGTAGAGTATATCCGGGGACTGTTTCCCCTTCGACGAGACGACGAGACTTCATTTAGGAAGCAGCGATGCCGCTAACTCGGCATGCCCCGCTGAGCCTCGAGGCTAGATCAAAGAGATCGAACTTCGATCTCTTTGATCTAGCAGGAAGTCATGATCTTGCGCCTTGCTTGGAGGAGCCGAAGAGCTTTTCTGCACTCTGTTGGCACATCTTTCAAGAGTCGCTCATTTACCCGGACTGGCAATTCCTCTGGCAGGCAACACGGGCCCCTCTCGGAAATTCAAAGAACAGATTGTTAAATAATGATTATTAACTATTGTCATCATCACGAGTGACTGACTAGTGACTAATGCCAATCGCATCCTTCGCTAAAGCGGCATCCGCTGGCTTCCCGAACAGGAAGGAGAGTCGATACGTGGCGGGCGATACCTCGAGGGTACGCAGGGCTGGAAGGAACCACCACCCAACCTCAAGTACCGGCCAAGTACTGCGCACCGGACAAGTAGGTACTCTGTAGTCTGCAGCTATGAACGCCGATAGAAAATGAATAAAAGCACATTGGATGTTTAAAATGGAAGATTCCCGGCGCGGTCAGGTCAATCCACCCCGTAAAACCATCGGATCAGCGCTGCGAGGTGAAACGGGCGCTTTTCCCCTTCCCCCCGCGGGCTGTCAGGGCTCCGGGGGTCGTCATCAACTGAGGCTAAAACCCTCCCTCCCCAACCACAGACCTTCGTTCCTCCAACTTCCTCCATGCATCATCTGGCTCTCTGACTTCTTCCACCCCCTAATTTATCCTCCACCACTTGATCCAATCTCTCCTCGCCCCCTGGGGATTGTTTACCTCCTTTGCCCCTCACCGTTCGCATTCTCGCCGCCATTCACCCATATCCCCCGTTGAAAGGACACGGATGCGATCTGGAGGCTGAATGCCGCATGGTCTGTTGTAGGGACCCTCCGATGGCAATTTGCCTAGGCGATCGCACACCCTGAGTTGAACCTCCTCCCCCTTTCGGAGGAGTCCAGTACTCTCCCTCCCTCCAACCCTCCCCGAGTAGCAATACCTTCTCCGCCGTCTCCGCCTTCTACTTCCTCGTCGCCAGGGATGAGTCTCCAGAGCGGGTTTACCGATACCTTGAGCCCTGGGACGACCAGTACAAATACCAGCCGCCGATCTACCTCCACCGTCCGATCACGTACACGACGCTTCGTGCCCTTCACCGATGAGGACGACGATGAGAATGGGCGACAGCTGCAGTCCACAGGTCTGTCGGCCATGTCGTCCCGCGACCCGTCTACAATTCGCTCCCGCGGTACCACGCCGTCCCCTTTCCCATCTCGAGGCGTCTCGCCGATCCCCAAAAGCCATCCGTCTCGTGCCACGCAGTCTCCCGGTCGCAACGGTCTGAATAGCTCGCTTGGGGGCTTTTACCCGTCGGGGAAGGGTCAGGTCAATTTCGCCGACTCGTCCCGGGCGGCGGTGGATTTTCTAGACTCCTCGTGGTCGTCGCTGCAGAGCTTGGCCTCTTCAGTGTTAGGGAGTGATATCGCTCGGCCGGCCACGAATGGTTCCGCTCGAACGCATGCCCGGAAGCCGTCGCGGCCGGATCCGTATATGAGGACGGCGTCGCGCACGGCGGTTCCCGCCGCTTGGGGCCCGTCCGCGCCGTCCGGGTCAGATATCGGTGCCGGTACCAAGGAAGAAAGACAGGCCTTGGTGCAGGCTAAGAAACGGGAGGCGCTGCTGCTGGCAGATGCGGCCGAGCCGGGGAACCCCAGCACTCGACACAAGCGACGAGACTCCAGCGACCAGACGGACCACTCCGCCATTGACCCGGAGCAGGATGAGGAGGCTTTGGCATATATTCATCATGTATTAGCGACGGATTCGATCACGGGGGTGACGATACGATATGGCTGCCAGCCTGCCATCTTTAGGAAAGCGAACGGGTTTTGGCCCATGGACAGCATTCAAGGCCGCAAGACCGTTCTACTCCCCGTCGACTCCTGCTCGGTCAAGGGCCGGCCTGTCAGCCCTCCGGGACAGGTCCACAATCTGCTGGACGACGAGGAGGCTCGACGGAAGTCCTTGGAGGATCCGAACGGTAGTTCGATCGCTCCGGTGTCTGGTCCAGACTCGCCTCGCCCATTCGAAGCAGATAAGAAGACTCTGGATGAGCTGGAGGAGATAGAGGGCGATCGTCTTTGGAAACACGAGTCTTGGGTGCAAATTGACGGATTCCCAGCGCCCGTGGAGATCGGTCGGGTGCCTCGCCGGGCTTTGGGGTTTTTCCCGCGCACGCGACGAAAATCCTTGTCCTATACGGATTCCGGATCCCCGTCAGTGTCGGGGTCGGGGCGGGACAGAACTGCTACTCCGTCTTCCTCGTCGTCCCCCATTGAACCCGCCTGGTCACCGGCCATCTCCACCCGACCGCACGCGGATTCGTCGGCATCAAGAGGCTCCTCCAACTATAAGCCTAAACACCGCCACCAGCGCCAGCGCAGCAACTTGCAGCTCTCGGCACCCGGTGTCGGGACCATGGACCGCGATGTCATGGCTCCGGGCCCGGCTCAAGATGGTCTCAGCAAATGGTTTGCTCAACATCTTCCCAATCTCGCTCCGACTCCGGCACCGCCAAATTTCGAGAGCACGTCGGAGAACGCGTCGACGGCCAACTCGAACACGCCGACGACCAGTCTTGACAACATCGGCGGGGCCGTCGAAGGTTGGGTCAGAAAGATGACAACTCGGGCAAAAGCGAGCCTCAATGAGTTGCAGCAAGACGTCTCGTCCCCTACCGGCAGCGGACTGGGCCCCGGAATCAACCGCCGGGGAACCGGCGACTTGATCGAGCTCAATGACGGATTAGAATCCAGGAGTACCTCGGGATTACTGGGCGAAACGCGATTAAGACCCGAGTTCAATCGATCCGGGTCCAGTCTCCATACCGGAGCATCTGTGAGGGAGCGGTTTCCCAGCCCTGCCAAAGGAACGAGCGGGTCTCGTTCTTTTGGAGACCGTCATAAAGATGATTGACGGAATTGCATATCCATAATGCGAACACTCTTCCATACCCCTGTCTTTCTCTCCTTTTCCATCTCAATTTTCCTTTGCTGTTCATCATATCCCCTGATTCCAAAATTTCCCCTGGCCATCAATTGGGACAGCAGCATGGCACTGTTGTCCGCTTGATGTGATACTTCCCAAAGCCTTGTTCGATATACGATACCTTGTACGCTTGCAGCATAGCGTGGCGCGACAGAGCACATGCCGTTGGTGGAAGGCTGATAGCAGTAATTTGCGGTTTATCTAGTCTATAACCGCGGGTGTTTGGGACACTGTATTTTTTTTTTCCGTCTTTCTGTCTCTATTTCCTTGTATGTATGTACCCAGCGTGTGTTTAGTCCGGCGGGATAAGTAGATATACCGATGGGCAGGACGAGGGATGTTTTTAGAGGGGGCCAAGTATAGCGGAAAGTATCCGATAGATTTAATGTCATTGTTTATACCGAGGGAGCGATCTTCGTCACGGAGAAATTCAACCTTCTTCTCCACAGATGCCTAGCCTCTAGTCCGTGATGGCGTCGTGGAGATTTATTTCCACCTATAACGAGTCCATGACGGGTCATATAGATCAGGTCTATTCCTCAGATAGTATTCTGCTCCCCCCACAAGGTATGCACATTACCCCATATATTGTTATTGCTCCAGAATCAGATAAATCAACCAGACTCTTAACATTTAATCTTGCTCAACCCCTTGGATCCATTGACTCCAATGTCCCCGTCCGTTATACCCCAGTAACTTGACCACGTTCACTCATCCGGTCTTTAACTAAGATGCTTCTCGCGTCTTCCATTTTCACCCTTTCCCTCTCCCTCGGTGCATCTGCGCTTCCTTCTTCTTCGTCCCCTTCATCATCATCTGCAATTCATCCCTCTCTCCCAAAAGTCACAATATCCCCTACCGAATCGAATATCCACTCCGTTGTCTTCCAAGGCCGCTCAATCCCTGAATTCAAACAAGATGTCTTCCTGGGAATCAAGTACGCCGATAAGCCGGACCGCTTTACGCCGTCGGATGTGAAGAGGGAGTATAGTATGTGTTTCTGTTGTTTCCTCTCCCCTTCCTCTCTTCAAATATCCCTTTGTTTATTTCTGCCTGCATGCGTGCTTTACCAAGCTTTATAAACCGATATCTCAGCTCGTCAACCTATATATTTTGATCCATCCAAGAACAGGGGAATGGATAGAGTAGAAAGAAAGCTAACAACCACCTACAGAAGAGAGAATCTACAACGCAACAACCTACGGCTTCGAATGTCCCGGCTACGGATCCGATCAGACAAAATTGATCAACGCTGGTACGATCCGGCAGGGTGAGGATTGTTTGAATCTGAATGTCATCCGGCCGTGGCGGGGACAGACGAATACCTCGTTTGCTGCTGGCAGTGGGGGTCGCAGTACTTCTGCCCAGGATGAGCTGCTGCCGGTCCTGTTGTGGATTTATGGTGGTGGATGGCAGCAGGGTGCGACGGCGGATCCGAGGTATACTTATATATTCCTTCTTCGAAGGCTTACTTACTTGCCTCCCTGCCTTCCTGCTTGATATATCCGATTATTGTCGGACTGTGGGGTGGATAGCAAGTGGAGCTATATACTTTATAATGCGTTGACTGACTCTGTGATAACTGGAAAGGTACAATATGAGCTACATCGTCCGGCAAGGCGCGCAGAGCGGATCCCCCGTGCTCGGCGTATCGATCAACTATCGCTTAGCTGCGTTCGGGTTTTTGGATTCGGAGGATGTTAGAGTATGCCGTCCCTTTTTCTTTTCTATACATAGTTCAATGCCCAGATCCTGATCTACCAAGACGAAGAGGAATTGACAAGAAGATGATATAGGAATCAGGAAACAATAACCTGGGACTGCGCGACCAGCGTGTCGCCATGAGATGGGTCCAGGAGAATATCCGTGCCTTTGGTGGTGATCCGAAGAGAGTTACTATCTGGGGGGAATCAGCGTATGTTTTCTTCACCCCCCCCCCTTAGGGAAGGGTACTTGGAGAAGCTTGTAGAAGGGGATATGCTCAGACTCATGCTAACGTCAACGGTATAGAGGAGCGTATAGTGTTGGTGCGCATCTAGTCGCCAACGGAGGAGATCATGAAGGCCTTTTCAGAGCTGGTAAGATTCGCCCAATACCTTTGTCTCTCCTCATGTCTGTAACTAATGTTAACTAAATTCAGCTATCATGGAATCCGGAAATGCGGTAGGCCCGCCCTGGAATGGCACCGACTGGTATCAGCCTATGTATGATCGGATCGTCAACAAGACGGGGTATGTACACGTCTCCCTCTTTGTCCCCCTCCCTTTCAATCCCGTTCGCAAGTCAAGTGAAAAACGAAGGGAAAGAACTGTGGAACGAAACTGACAGAAACAAGCTGCGCCAACTCATCCGACACGTTACAATGTCTCCGGGATGTGCCTTATCAAACCCTCTACGACAACGCCTTCGAAGGACTGGAATGGTTCGGCGCCATCGACGGCACGTTTATCCGCGAATACCCCCAGATTAGTTTCACGGAAGGTCGATTCGCGAGAGTTCCGATCCTGCTGGGCACGAACACCGACGAGGGAACGAGTTTCGGTACGACGGGCACCGATACGGACGAAGAGTGCGTGGAGCAGTTGATTTGTAGGTTTTCTTCTCCTTTTCTCTTTTATTCTTACCCCGATCGACCTGGACTAGGTGGTGGTTTCGGTTTAGAATGGATATAGAGGGACTGAATTGTATCAATAGCTTCGAAACGATGGGTCCTTGACCGTACCAAGGCCACTAAACTCCTGACTTTCTACCCCAACGACCCGGCCGTCGGATGTCCCTATGGATGGGGAAACAAGACCTGGCCATCGCTCGGGGCCATGTATAAGCGGTACGAGTCGATGGCAGGAGACATCACCATGGCGGCGCCGCGACGACTGCTGGCCACGACGATGGCAAAGGCTGGCCAGAAGGTATATAGTTATCGATGGGATGTGGCGGCGCTGAACTCGTCGAGTACGATCGGCGTGGGACATTTCGCCGAGGTAGGCTACCATAATATACCACCTGTTAACTACCTATAGGGGCCATCTGTCCGGAGGTATGTTCATAGGTACCGAACATCTGTTACTAACATAGGCACCAGATTCCATTCGTCTTCGCCAATCCCGACCAGACCATGACGCCTTTAGGCGACGATCCGAATCGACTAGAACTAGGCAACCTAGCAGCTCGCATGTGGACGTCATTCGCGACGGACTTGCACCCCAATGGTCACGACGGTATGTTTGTTCCCCTCCTGTGTGACTTCTCTCTTTCTCTGTCTGGCTTTTCCCCGCATGACGGTGGAGTTCCTACTTCCTGGCTGTTAGCCTGTTACACTAAGGTCCCCTCTAGTCCTAGGTAGGTAGGATATGTATGAGCTAACGGGTGGAGTTGCCTATGCTTGCAGTGCCTCAGATCGCGTCATGGCCGCGGTATACGCCGCATAATCCGTCGAATTTCGTTTTCCGATTGCCCCGCCAGCAGAGCTATGTTGAACCCGACACGGATCGGGAGGAGGGGATGGCTTATCTTAATGGGATTGCGCGGTAGTTCGCGACGATGGATGGAGGCTGGAGGAGAGAAAGATAGAGAGAGGGGGGGAGACTAGGAAATTAGGATCATGCAGACACGGAACCCTTGGCAGGATGGAGTGCAGTGCATGTGATATGCAACCTGTCATGACAGGAACCAGACGGATTTATACTACCAAACTACAGACTTAAGTTGGGTGTTTGAACTCCCCTTATAGGTTTCAATGTTAATCAAAAATGATAGATTGTCAAAGTCCTTGGATGGACCAGAAATAAAAGGCAGAAGGCCACCGATTTTGTTACGTTGTAATAGAAACACTCATTTACCAAAACTACCTATATCCCGCTCATCTGATTTAGAGGGCCTTGTTGTTGATGCCGAGCAGTTGGACCTCGCTGCGAACGAGACGGTTAGTACATCAGTTGTCTCCTCGATCGTGTCGTCCCGTCCAGATATCCACGAAACTAAAACTGAAGAGAACTTACAAAACAAGGGTGGCGTTGGGAGGGATGAGACCGGGGAAGCCACTATATAAAATAATCCTCATTAGCATAAACACTCCCTCGGACTCCCTTTCCGGAGTCCAGAATTGAGTCGACAGGAAGAAGTTGAACATACGAGGGACCGTAGGCGTAGTCACTGCCCCACTCGTTAGCTTTCGATCTCTTGGTAACATGGGGAAAGGAAAAACAGATACTCACCCAGTGATGGTCAGGATGGCCTTCTCGCCGAGGCTCATGGTAGGGACGCCCTCGTCCCAACCTGTAGCAATTGGTTAAGTTAATCATCGAACAAAAAATGGAGCTAGTTCTGGAACAGAGCTAATGGAATCATCGATGAAAAGAATGGTGGGGGGAAGCGTACCCTGAATGAGACGGCCGACGCCGATGGCGGTCTTGAAGGGACCACGGCCGACGGAGCTGTCGAACCTGAGGACAAGTTAACTCCAGGGTTCAGGATCGTGCTCGAGAGAACAGAACATACTGGGTGCCCATCTTGTTGGGGGCGCTCTCGTCATACAGACATCCGGTGTAGTGCATGGTGATGTTGTCGCCCTTCTGAGGGAAATCCTGCTGGTTACCCTCGGCGAGAATCTGCTTGGTGACACCCATAATGAATGATTGGTTAGGGGAATTTGAAAGGGGGAATCTAATGACGATGAAGGGAGAACGTAGATGGAGGAGAGAAGACCGAGGATGAGGGGCTGCAGAAAGAAAAAAACGTAAATAAATAAGAGCCAAGTGGGGTTTGTACCGTATCTTATCGGTACTGCCCACGTATTGACCGTACTGTAGGTATTCTATATCCTGTAAGTACCTTGTTTATCAGGCATCAGGGGAAGTATACGGGAGATGTCTACTAAATGGCGTAGAAGGTAGCTACAACAGTCCATTTGACTATAGATTCAGATATGGGCAAATCTCTACGACACAGCACTTCACTGCCAGAATGCTTCCTGCTTCACCTCCTCCACGCTGATTGATCGAACTTGAGTGCGAGGGAATCGCTCATCCACCGCCGCTCTCTCGGCCAGCTCCAAGTAATGCAGCGTCGAAATGCCCTCGCGCTCGATAAACTCCAACACCCGGTGGAAATTGAGTCCGACCTGGTCCAATCCGTGGCTATCGTCGGACAGACAGAACCGACCTCCTCTCTTGAGGAATTCCTACAGATAGTACCTCGTTAGACTTCCCACCTTGGAATCGATGTCAATAGAGTATGATATAAGCTCACCTGGCAGATCTCCCCGTTCGGATACGGCTCACTCATCCCCTTGCGCAGGGCCGCCGAGTTCAGCTCTAGGATCCCTCCGTACAACGCCACAAAGTCCAGATTTCGTAGGATGCGCTCCCACACCCCGGGCCACTGCTGGAAGCTGCGCTCGGGGTCGTCGCTCTTCAACCGGATCAGGTCGAAGTGGCCCACGACGAGCGGCTTCAACTGCTGCAACATATCCAGTTGCTCGTCGAAATACGCCTCGAACAACTGCTCGTCCGTACCTCCGGCCAGATCCCGTGCCTTCTCGTACATCGGCCGATCATAGTCAATCGGCACCGTCAGCGTGTGATGCACCGAGCCCATGAAGAACTCGAAGGGATGTCGCTTTAGCGACTCCTCGATAAGCGCGCGCGATTCCGGCCGGATCCAGTCAATCTCAAACCCGATCAGGATCTGGATCTGATCGGCGTACTTGGCCCGCAGTCGTTGCGCCTCCTGGAAGTAGGCGGCTTCGTTAGCGACCATGCTGGCCATGGTCGTGTTGGCTTCGATCTGGCGGGTTGGGTTAGATATGGACCATAGGCAGGGAGTGAATGCGCACCTCCTCTGGGTAGTAGTCTTCTGACCCTCGGGGCATATGCTCTGTCAGGCAGAAGGTTTTGAACTTCTTGGAGATGGCCAACTGGATCACCTCCTCCAGGGAGTCTTTAGCATGGCCGGGGCAGAACTGCCCCGAGTGGCTGTGGTGCGAGAACGGCATTTTCTGGAGAGGTCAGTAACTGCTACCTTAATGCTCTGAAAACAGGCTGGGATATAGAACGCCCGTCTTTTCCCTGATATGGTATCGCAAGCAAGAAGACATGAGCGTGGTACTTACTACAGCTGCCCCGCAATTACTCAGATAAGCAGGTGTACGTAAATAAGACACTTGGTTACAGATACAACAGACCAAAATCAAGTCCAAAACTTCTATGGTATTTATGTAAGAGAAAGCGAGATGGTGCGCATTTAGCGAGGCCTCCAGATAACCAAGAAAACCTGGCTGTGGAAGAAAAGGTGCGAGGCGAGGATGAGTTAGCGGGCACTTCCGCCGGAACTCTCTGTTCGACCCATAACAAATCATCAATCTTCAGGTGCAGCGCAAGGCCAGAACGGCAGTTTCCTGCCTATGTGTTCCGCCCATACCGCATCCCAGTATCGATTGACCGTATAAACTAGCGGGAATTCGATGTTCTCCCCGAATCCTCATAGTTGCCCAACATTCAGCTGCTGTACGAGTCCGGGGTGCGGATGCGCATTGGGAGCACACCCATCGTGTATCAACAGCAGTCGATATTCGATAGCAATAGAACAGCTCCCACACTTTTGCGTTCATGCCCTGACTGGCATCACAAGCGTCCATATCCCCATTCCTAGACCAAGCCTTGACCAACTTGTGCAGAGGGCTCACGAAAAGGAACTGTTGCGCCTCAGACCCGATTGCGAATGCGGTATCTAAAGCATGAGATGCTCCCTTCTCTCACTTGCTATTCCCTGAATGTTTCACCATATATGTGTAGTTCTTTGTGTCCCATCGCAATTTTATCGTTCAGAATGTCTCCTAATCACCCCGCCGCAAGAACCGTAGCGATCACATACTCCCCGTCATGTGAAATCGACAGCTTGCCCACTCTTCCTCCCTCCGGCCCCAAGTAGACAATCTCCGGTCGGCCTTCCTGGTCGGCTTCGCCCACGCGCACCATCACGTCTTTCCATCCCGTCGTCGCGGCTCCGGAGGGTGCGGCTTTCCGCGCGGCCTCTTTGGCGGCGAATCGGCCGGCGAGCCAACGCGTCATGTCGGCGGTAATTATAGTGGGAGGTTCGCGGGGAGGAACTGATTCGGTGAATGCGGAGGATGAGGTGGTGGTTCTGAAGGACAAGGCGAATCGCGCGTGGAAATCGCGCTGTTCTTGTTCGCAGAGGATGCGGCGCGTGAAGCTGGCGAGGTAGCCTCCGCGGCGGTTGAGGAGACGGCTGATCCGGGGCAGGTGGACAATATCCGTGCCGATGTTGAGTGGGAATGGGAATGGGAGGGGTTTCATGGTAGAATGGATGTGGGAAATCTGTGCTAAGATGGACGGAGATGTTGGAGTTGAAGATGGAGATAACGATGAAAATGACAATGACGACCAAAACAGACTTCATCCCGTGACTAAGCAGTGTTACTACGTCGATAACTATCAATCGGTCTCCAATTATTACAGGCCATTAAAAGCATTCGGTATTTGCTCATGTGCATCCTACGTTGCCCATTATAGTTTCGTTGACTACGTCAAACTCCCAACGCGAAGTCCGGCCGATAGATCCTACACAGCTTCCCTGCCGTCCTACGGAAGAATCCCAGTTCCGTCACAGTTTACCAGCAATAGAAAGCATAACTTCAATGCGGTGTATACCTCTATATGTACAGATCACACACCTCACCATCACTAGCACGGCCAGAGCCGTCCCAGCGAGTCCAATACATGCATCACTCCGCCAGGATTCCAGTCCCGGGTCCCCTTCGATAGTTGCTTCCTCGTCACATAGTCGACAGTTGCGTCTCGGATGGATGGATCAATCTCATGTCCAGGGCTCGTTTGCACCGGGATTGTCCTCGGCTCATTCCTCATTATCGACGGAGCTTATTTAATGGCTGCTCTTCTTCTCGTCTCCGTTGACGCTCTTCAAGAAGTCCCTGTAGTGATGCCGGTTAATATACAGGTCTTTGGAGATACGGGTCGAGCTTTCGAGGGATTGGTTTTTCTTCGTCTGCCCCTAGATGCGGACCTGGTCTTCGTTCCAAGCTCATGAATTGCACGACAATCGTCGTGTATTTCAAATATGAACCACCGAGAGACCAATCCAAAGCATCACCCCTTAACCCGCCCGAATGCTCAGGGAAAAACGTACTGGATGAAAGTCTCCTCGTCCTTGGAAGAGGCCTGGATGGGGGGAGCAGCCTGCTTCTTCTCACCACCGCCGCGGGTACCGAGGTAGACACCGCCGAAGAGAGAGCCCAAAACGCCCATGGCGAGCTAGACCACGAGAAGAGAGATGTTAGTCACTTGGGGTGCTTGGTGATACCGTCGGCAATTGCGAGCTGCTAGCCGCGGAGAAGAGTTTTGGATCAGGGGACAGGGAGCGGGCGAGCGCGGGGGGCACATACGACGTGGGAGCCGACCTTCTTGCCGGCGAGCTGGTAGTAGGCAACCATTGTGACGGAGTGAGGGGGGGAAGTGATAAGAAGAGGGAGGAGGGTCAGTGGGATGAAGCGGTGCAAAGGAAGGTACGGGCGGGAGCACAACTCGTTCGGGTTGCGATGGAAGTTGCGGCGCCTCTTGGCACCTTACCGCTTCGGGCATGGTCACGGAGTGCTCAGTCAGATATGACTCAGCGGATGCCGAAGTGTCATGTGACACACATGACATCTGAGGACGATTACACGTGACTCTGTCCGAGGGGGCCCGACGGCGCGGAGGAAGTCGGGGGCGGCCGGGAAGTCGATCGGCAGCGAATCACGGCATCGTCATCATCATCATCATCATCATTCTTACTCTGTAGTGAGAATGTCACGGAGAACTTACACGGTGTACAGACCGACAGAGGGACAGACAGACCGAGAGTCGTCGGAAAGGGAAAATCAGGAGCATCAGATGAGCACTAAACATGGCGGTGTCGCCCATCGTGGACTCATCCCTGGGACTCGCTGGCAATTTCCCCGGCTATGCGAGCTTGTCGGTTAGTCGAGATTCCTACTAGGTAATAACAACGGATAAACTCCTCCATATTAATATGCCGGGCGCTGCTCACGCGCGCAGCTCCATGGCTGTGCTTTTTCTTTGGCCGGTAGCTCCGTAGCTCTTCTTTTCCTTCCTTCACCTTCACCTTCATTCCTCAGTCTATCCTTCCCCATCCCTACATACTCGGTAAGCTGCTCCTCTTCTATTTCCCTCGTATTTCAACCGTCTTGTACTCACTGGAATAAATTCCAGCTCCGTCGCACATCATGTTTTGGGGTTCGCGAAAAGAAGAGGAGACCCCCGAGGTGGATCAAAAGCCCATTTCTCGGAGCAAGCTTCCTCCTCAACTGCAACAACTGGTGGATCGCGACGATGCGTTCTACGATGACATTTACTCCTCCTAGTACGTAGTGTGCTGCCATTGCTGTTCTGCTGCGTTGTGCCTGGGAGCCTGTGTTGGGCGCGGGGGAGTGAGGAGTACCGTACCTTATCCCCCCGCAAATGACGATGTCTATCCCCGCAAGACGATCGCTCTCAGGGCCACAACGCACGCGCCCACCGCAGTTCCAATTTCACCACATGTCCACGGTGAAGAAAGCTAACCATCTATTCTCAGCTCCGTCGACTCCAAAGAAACCCCCTACCGGTACGCCGGTTACGCCAATCGGCTACGCACCGTACTTCTCTCCGCGCATCGCTATGTCGCCTACACCTCCGACATTGGCGAGTCCTTCCGCCCTGTCGCCCATCCCTACCTGGTGCGCTCGGCTTACGGAATCTCCTGGACTTATCTGATCGGCGACGTCGTTCACGAAGGCTACAAGGCCTACCTGCGCAACCGGCATGTGCTGGCCCCGCCCTGCGAGTCCTACAAGGACGCCAAGGACCTGTCCCAGCAGGAGGTCGTCAAAGGCATGGCAACGAGCAACTTTACCCGGTCCCCGCGCGCTGGGGAATCCTCCTCCTCGTCTAAATCCGACACCCTAACGCCCTGGCCGACCACCGAGATCCCACTCATCGAGGACTACCGCATGGTGATGGCCAAGCGTGCCGTGTTCCAGAGCGTCGCCAGTATGGGACTTCCGGCTTTCACGATCCACTCGGTGGTGAAGTACTCCGGACGGATGTTGAAGAACTCCAAGCTGGTGTTTTTGCGCACTTGGGCGCCTATCGGTGTAAGCAGTTTTCCAACTCCACACACACACTCACACATGACACGAGTTCCTCGCTCTGCGGGGGGGTTCACCCCGCCTTTTCCCCCTTTTTCTCCGTAACTAACCCCCTTGCGCATTCTAGCTCGGTCTCTCCGTCGTCCCTTTCCTCCCTTATATCTTCGACGAGCCGGTCGACGAAGCCGTCGAATGGACCTTCCGCACCGCTCTCCGCGCCTACGCCGGTGAAGACGCCGTCCGCCCCTTGCCGGCCACCGCGCATATCCCCGCCGACGACGCCACCTCTCTCAGCCACTTCTTGAAGGTCCGCGAAGAGCAGAACAGCAACGTCTCCATGGGCTCGGATGCCCGCTCCGCCGCCGAGACCAACATCTCCTGGGACAAGTACAAGGAACAGCGTCTGCAGGCGAAGGAGCAGCGGAAACGAGAGCGTGAAGGACGCGGCGACAAGGGGGTGTTGGCGATGTTGGGGTGGAATAATGGTGATTCGAAGAAGAACGAGTAAAAAAGCGTGGGGGTGTGTGTTGAGCCTGTCTCGTTTTTGGCTAACATTCTTTTTTGAGGCTTTTTCCTTTTCTTTTCGTTTCTTGAACCTCTCTTTTCTTTTGCTTTTTCTCCTGCATCTCATCTCATTGCTCGTTTCACCCTGTACATATTGTCTGCATTTAGCGCCTTTTCCTACTTTTTCATCATTGCCTGATTTTTGCTTCCCACTGGTCCTTTTTCATTTCGCGTTCGGCGCCGACGTGGATAACACAGGTGTAACCAAGAACTAGATTAGGGGGTTCCGCAAAGTGACACAAATGAAACCACATCACTCCGAAACACCGGATCAAGGCTCGTACAGCCAGCCATGTCTAGAATTATGCAGGAAGAACGCAAGGACTGGGATACGAGAACCAGTACAGCCCAAGATAAAACCAAAAAATATTTTTCACATTCATTCAATTCAATTTCCGTGCCACAAGAACACGGCTCATTCGCTGCTCTACTTGCAATATACATCTGTACACAAAAAAGATCGACAAGGACGGACAAGAGGGAAAGCGGAGACAATAAAGGGCAGTGCAGTATAGGACATCACTCGTCACAGATACCTACCACCCCACCATTAGGGCATAGTAAGAATAAAAGGTCCGAAAGGAAAAGGGACGGTATAAGTAATGATTGCGGTGCGGGCGAGGTCTTTTTGCGCCGAGTCACCATCAAGGAAAGTAAGAATGGAAGGATCAAGATTGAAGGGAATGTAAAGGGATAAGAGATAAAAGAAAAAGGCCAAAACAGATGGGGAATAAGAAGAGAAGAATATGTTAGGACAATGTAAAAGAAACAACAAGCGTCCTCAAGGGACGCCAGGAAATCCAAATTGAATACAATCAGAAGGTAAACCAGACACGTAGATAGATTCCCGGTCAATATGGGAGCGAGGAACTGCTGGAAGAGCGATTCTCCAATCGGGCGAGCTTGCTCTTTCCTTTATACTTGTATTCCATGACTCCCACTTATTGAAGCCTTTGGGAGTCCACCGTCTATCTTTTTTTTTCGATTTCTTTTTTTTCTTGATATACCCGACTTAAGCTTAGTTCCATCCAAGAGAATTTTCTGCCATCACGGGTGCACTGATCATTTGCGTACGGGCGCTTCCTCCTCGGCTGACCTGGCTGTTGCGAGACATGCGGCCACCGGCAGCGAGGACCGAGCCGCCACCGTGGCCCTCACTCATCTGCTCAACGGTCGAGCTGGATCGCTGGTGCAATTGACGCTTCTTCCGGTACCGGCGAGCGACCCAGAACATACCTGCACCATAGGCAGCTGCACCGGCCACAACGCCAACGCCAATGCCAACAGAGCTGGGGCGGGCGCTTGAGCTACCGCTAGCGCCTCCATCGCCGTTGCCATCGCCATTATCATTGTTATTGCCATTGCCATTGGACCCATTGCCAGTTTTTCCGGCAAACCAGGGGGGGCCAACCCCGTTGGGCCAAATACTGATGGTGGGATCAATCATAGAGAACAACGTGTTCACAGACTCGTCAGACTCGTGGTAGAATTTCGAAACGGGGTTTTTAATTTCAACCTCGAGTTGCGATTCGAACGTTGTACTGTTGGGCTTTAGGTTATGCAGGTACGTATTATTTGAAACCCAGGCGTAAACGGTCGTGGCAAGGTAGCCGTTCATCTGCAATGGTTTGATTTCAATCATCGAAATCTGCTCACTGGAAAGCCCCATAGTGTACTGGAGACCTTTCGGAACAAAATGGAAGATTTGGGTTGATGACAGCATAGTAGTGGCAACAAAGCTGTAGCGAAGTCTCTCGTCGAATCCAAGACGAATCATGACAGCATCCTTAGGTTTCAACCCTTGTTCTTCATTCGGTGCGATATTCCCAGGAAGTTGTACTTGCGTGGTAGTGGAAGTTGCAGTCGCGTGGGTAACTGAATCGTGGGTCGTAGGCGTTGGGGGCTCCACGAGAATAGTAGAGGGCACCCAATCATCGTTGTCACTGCTTGTACTGGCCTGCGTGGTGGGCTCGGGTGTTGGTTCTGGCACAGGCTCTGGGGTAGGAGTTGTTTCAACGGCTGGTTGCGTGGTGCTTGGGGGCGGCGGCGGCTGCGTGCTAGGCTGCGTGGTGCTAGGCTGCGGCGGCGGTAGTGTGCTGGGCTGCGTGGTGCCTGGCTGGGATGGTTGTTCTGTGCTTGTAGGTGCCGGTGCAGCGGTAGATATAGGGGTCGCCGGGTTTGTAGGGCCCGCTGAGGGAGCTTTGGAGCTAATCAGAGCAGTCGAGGAGAAGCCGGCAGATCCAGACTTTGTACCAGTGGGAATGACGGCTCCACTAGTTGTTGCGGGCGGTGCAGATGTGCCAAGCGAGGCCGATGAGCTTAAGGTGGCTGTTTCACTCTGGGAAGCGGTCGCACTTTGAGATCCGGTAGCACTTTGGGAAACAGTAGCACTTTGGGATGCACTGGCACTCTGAGACGCAGTGGCGCTCTGGGATTCGGTGACATCATGCGTTCCCGTCCTACTATCCGAGGTCGATCCTCCAGGAACAATAAGGGCACTAGTCGCCGAAGTACCAGAGGGGCCAGGCTGGGAGCTGCTCACTGGAGTGCCCGTAACCTGCGATGTAAGACCCAGTGCTGTGCTCAAAACCCCGGACACATCAAGAGAGCCACTCGATGCCGAGGGAGTCACAAGCGGTACACTGACGGGAATGGTAGGGAAGATACCGCTAGAACTGGTGGCCTCTGAGCCAGTGCTGACACCACCACTAGTTTTCGTCTCGGCAGGAGTGGATGCTAACTCAGTTTGGCTTGGAACGACAGATTTTGTCGGGCTAGGGAGACCGGATGACTCGGATTCGGTTGAGCTGGTAGTGTCGGACAGAATATCTGACACAATTGATTCAACAATGCCTGACGAATGAGTAGACGACGGCGCGGCGTCCCTAGAGTTTGACGGAGCAGTCGAGCGGGTCGCGACATCCCCGGAGCTCTGGGAAGGCAAGACAGTACTTGAAGTCGACCCGGAATCAATGATGGGAATCGAGCTAGGCCCTGGCTGGCTTGTTGTAGGGGACAGATCGCTAGAGCTGGGGACGTTCGAGGAATCCGAGTGACTGGGAGTCAAAGTAACATCAGCAGAGCTGAGAATGTCGGTGGAGCTCGGAACGGTGGAATCCGACCGACTCGGCGTGAAACCCGAATCAGTAGAGCTGGGAATAGTCAATGAGTCAGATTGACTGGGGGTGAGAGCGACATCGGTAGAGCTTTGAACAATCGAGGAATTCGGCTTGCTGGGAGTGAAAACCGACTCGGTGGAGCTGGGCACACTGTTAGAATCGGATTGGCTTGAAATGCGAGCCGGATCAATAGAGCTGAAAGCGCTAGATGATTCAGATTGAGCTGGAGCAGAAGCCAGGTCAGTCGAGCTGGAAGATCCACCCAGAAGATCCGACAACAACCCCGGGACCAGTCCCGGGGTTGGAGTTGAATACGGGGTCGAGGGCGGGACCACTTCCACTGGAGTGGAGGGGCTTGTCAGGCCGAGTGTAGCGTCATCGGATCTCTGGGAGGATTCCGGGACATTGGTAGTCGTCGCAGAATCGATGATGGGAACTGAACTGGCAACCGGCTTGGAGTTGGCTGTAGTGGTCACACTCGACAGTTCGGTCGGGGTAGCAGGAGCCACGGGTACGGCAGAGCTGGATGCTGTTCCCCACAAGCTACTGACAAAGCTATCCCATGCGTCCGTCAGCTTGGTTCCGGTGCTAGACGGTGTCGGAACAGCCTGCACTGAAGGAGTCTCCGTCACACCCTGGTTGGCTTCCGTGGAGATTGCAGGCTGGGAAGAAGCGGTTTCCTGGGTGGGTTGACTGAGAGTTGCAAGGAGCGGAGAGGTGGTTGTCTGGCTGGGTTGACTGGGAATTGCAGGCTGGGAAGAGACAGTTTCCTGGTTGACCTGGCTGGAAGTCGTAGGCAGCGATGTGGTATCCTGGTCCGTGGGTTGGGGGGCGGGAACCGGAGTAGATTCATGGGTCTGCGACGTCGGGGATACCGCAGGCGTACTAGCTGGAGGCGGCGGTTGCTCCGTGATAGACGTCGCACTTGTCGAGGTCACGGCACCGGGCGTCGCAGCAGGCGGGGTGCCCGTAATAGTATGCGTGATCCCATTCAAATCTACCGAGAGGGTGATAGGAATAACCACCACCGGAGGAGACGGATCGGCCACCGGAGTCGTGGTCACTACCTCTGCGGTTTCGGTCGGCTGCGGCACATTGGTATTGGGTTTCGTTACCAGCTCGGAGGTCTGGGGATTGGCCACCGGGGTCGAAGAAGCCTGGTAGTTGATCTGTCTCTTGAATTGTTTAGGGATAAACCGAGGCTTTAATTCTGGCTCGACCTGAGCCGCGACAAGGTTCAGGCCTCCCAGAGACAAGAAGGCCGTAAGCACGGCTGCCGTAGGCGGATGCATGGCGAAAGCGAAAAAGAGCGTAGTACCTGGCAAATAAAGGAACGGCTAAGGATGAAGGCGATATATAAAAAAGAGTGAACGGACAGCGCGAGGCTGAGTCAAGGACCACCAAGCCAAGCAAGCGACGAAGGATCCGGACGTTGAAAACTAGTATCAATTATCGATCTCCGGATTCATGAGTTCGATGGCTGGAGCGTGGTCTGATCCGCGAGCTGACTTTCTTCCCTTTCCTTTGCCGTCGGGGCAAATCACCAGTATAATCGAGTTCCGACGAGGCCAGCGATAAAATCGGAAATTCTCGATCAAGACGTCCTATCGGGATGAAGGCGGGAATGGAACGGTATGGGAAGTTGGGCGATAGGATTGGATGATAAACAAATGCGGATCTAAAAGAGCGGCAGGGTGCGTGGATGGCGCAGATGATCCAACGGAGAACCCTTGACGAAAAGATTCGGATAAAAACACACAAATAACGAGCGTGGGTGCTGTAAGGAGCGAGCGACGAGATCTAAAACAAGAAAGAGAAAAATGTCAAAAGAAAGACCGTGGCGGGGGAGGTGGTTGTTATGGTGAACCGGCGCGGGTGGGAGATAGCGATCCGGGCAGTGAGTCGTACCTGAGCGCGACCGTGGGAGGGGGGTGGATGCAAGGAGAGCAATTGGCGAACAATGATCTGGTCCCAAGGGTCGCTGACGTAGAATGCGCGTTCAAAGATGGGCTACGTCAACGCCAGCATCAAGATGGCGAAGCATCAGAGGGGGGGAGGGAGGGAAGAGAAGAAGGGAAAGGAAGAAAAAGAAACAAGAAACAACAGCAATTCCAGAAGCAAATTGAAGGGAAGGAAAGAAAAGAGAGAAGAGAAGGGTGGAAAAAAGGAATGTAAAAAGCGAAAGGAAGGGAAGGGAAGGGGAGATTAGTTTGGCTGGTTTACTTTGGGGCTTTGGTCTGGTCTGGTTGGTCGGGTTTGTTTAGTGCCGTTTAGTAGAATTGGGTCGGGCCCCGTTAAGTTTAGCGTGGCAGAGTAATTGCAAACAAAAGGGGGAAATAAATAAAAAAAAAAAGAGGGGGCGTCGGGTGCATTAATCGCAGGCAACGCGGGCGGGCTTATCCTCACGCACCGGCTGAGATGGTCGATGAGGTGGATGCCCCGGTGGACTTAGGCCCACCTCCATTGCGTGGGAGATGGGATCTTCTTTCGCCATGGCCTCATCAGTGCGATCACGGATCATGTAATTCTGGGTCTCTTGGTCTTTTTTGGGCTTTTTCGGGCTTTTTTTTTTTTTTCCTTTTTTTTTGACCTTACTAATTCTATTCATGGAATACCGTCCCCCGTCCCTCCGTGCACACACGTAGGTACCGTGGAGGTTAGGACGGTCCTGCATATCCCGGGGATATATGCACATACCTCCCAGACTGATGATCTGAGATATCTTACAGCAATTAGAAGTGATAGATACGTATTCTCAGACTGCCCGAAGCATCCTCAATTCTAAAGAACCCCACGAGTTGTCCCAGATAAAACAACCCACTGCATTAGTTGTTATTATTTGTTCCCTACGGAGTAGTTAACTAGTTAGTTAAATACTGCTATTCTTACCTCATCCAAATGTCTCAAGGCAATCTTGCCACGCACTGAGCTTCCATTCCATGATTTCCATCCTTTCCGTGAGAACTATTGACAAAGTAGGGTAGTACTGCAGGTAGTGCCTACTAGTCCCGTCACCACCGAAGTCACTGCTTCTCTGCAGACTGCAGACTGCAGCAGCGAGCAGACTAGAGCGTCGTCGGAGCAGATGACCCTATCGACCATCCGGGTGTAATAGGGATCGACAAAGAGATGGACTCCGGTCAAAACTTCGAGTGGCACAAATTTCGTCGGATGGCGTCCACCATGCGGGACAGAGTGCATTATCACCGGAGAAATCTCAAGTCGGTCGGTAGCAGACCAGCAACAAATAGGCACGATCACGACCATTGAAGGAACTAATAGTTCCTGGGACTACTGAGTAGGGACCCCAAGTGAGGATTCGGCCTAAAATCTGATGGACGAGCAGGGGCAGGTCAATAACCCAAATAAGCCCATCAATCGCAAGCCATATTAAAGTGCTCGATCCCCCGGCGAGGGTGCTCGAATCCATGGATATTCTCCTCGAATCCTCGGTAGACAGTGGCTACCGAGGAGTCAAACGGATGCAATTGTGCGGTGCACATCACAATTCCGGGCCATCGTACGGAGTACAGGACAGGACACACCCCCCACCCGCCTAATTCTCGCAGATTCCGTCAAGGTTCGGACCATTGCAAGGCCTAGACCGACGGCGTCGGGTTAGTGTGCGTGTTCCTGGCAGTGTGGAGATGGTCGAGGTGCGTGGCGATACCAATGGCCCGTCAGAGTCAGCGAGTGGCTGTGACAAAGAGATCAACAAAGCAGTTGGGCTTACTCTTTTTTTTCCCCTTCCTGCGTCTTTTCCTTCCAAGATAGTTCCACAGAACATGTAGGATGGTTCGTTTTGCAGGCACAATGAAAATGCTCGGTCAGCGAAATGCGTCTTCCTTCTCGACTACTGTCCAAGACTTCAAGGACGACGACGAGGACCGGGCCAAGAAGGTTGACCACATTCGGCTTAGCCTGCGTCCCCCCCCCCTTTTTTAGAGTCAAGTAAGTTAGTAACAGTCACACTGACCATCCGTCTTGTCTCACCATCACCGCTTTCCCAAATGTCAGTCACCTTGTTATCCAGTATCCCGATAGTGTGTTTTTCGCCGGAACTATTATTATTCTATCTCCTTAGAGAACCTTCTAATAGGTCCATTTCTTCTAGTCACCGCCGCTATTAACCTTAGGGAACTGGTTCCTCGCTTTCTCAGAGGCAGCGAGCGTTGGAGATGCTGACCCAAGGTAGATGTCGACTTGTTACAGAGCATTTGGGAGGATTATGGCCCGAAAATTATCCACACATACGAGGTCTGCCAGTCTAGCTACGGGGCTCCGTACTCTCTGTCAGAGACTGAGGTACCACGTAGCTTAGTTCAATAATGTCCACTACGACTACGGAGCACCTATGATGTACTATTTTAATGCACTCTTCGTACGGAGTACAAAGCAATAAGCTTCGTGTTATCCTTCCGAAATGTCGGGCTGGACAATCAGTGATCTGCCGTGACATATCCTGGAATGTCTGCTTAACGGAAATTCGAGTTGAAACAGTCTTCATTCCATCCCTTCTGTCTCAACGGTCAACGCTCCCGACTCTCGGAGAACAAGGGAGGTCAAGACAACATAGCACAGCATTCCTGATTGGTTTGAGATTTGGTTTTCTATGGAAGCTGCGTCTTTTCTCTTCCACTATTTCCTCTATTCCGTAGAGAGTACGCAAGTGCGTCGTCGAAGCAATGTCTCTTGGCTAGAGCCACACGGCGGAGCCAGACTGTTACAGTATGCGAAGGCCGTGAATATCCGGCCAGCTAAATCGAAAAGTCACGGAGAGCACTTGCTCTGATAAGGCCGATGGAGCACGGACTCGGACCGTCGTATGTTCTGTGACGTCCAAATTTTTAGGACAGTTATGTGCTATCTTTGTATGAGCTACTCAGGTCTGGTCCGAGGCATCTTCCATCATAGTCTCATCAGTCATCGTGCATTCGATTTGTACTCCGGACTTGCATCGATACCGGACATGATAAAGTATATCGGGCAACCGCGAGAGTCTGATAGGCTGTCCCCAAAATTGGGACCGACCACCGAAACTCGCGAAGTTAGGTAGGCGAAACCTTTTCCACATCCCCCTTTCTAATAAAAGGTGCGCCTAATTTAGTTCGCTGCTTCACGTCTACGGTCTACCACGGACTGGCAACGGCGCTATTCCTGTTCCTGACGAAGGGCCGGCCGGCTTTCCGCGGTCCATTGGCTGCTAACCGAGCTCTTGGCAGTCGGTAGCGAGCGCAGTCAGGCAGGCACCAAAATAAGGCAGGTACGGAGTAGATAGAGCTCTTTCCCTCTATGGGTACAGTTATGTACTTCATATGGAGTAGAAGGTACAGTAGCCTCTAGATATGTGACAGTAACATCATCCCAGCTGTGCGGTCGCCCTGGTGCATGTTCAATCGAGCCTGAAAGAATAATTAGCAAGTATAAATTCTTTGACAGGACGAATATATATTCCTGACACGCATGATCGAGTCCCCTACTAACATTACGAATCTGAACACCAAGAATTCTTCCTTTGAATACTAACATGTCAAGCTACCATTTTCTTGCTTCCCTGTCAACACCCTCGTCAGGGCAATCCAGAGCCCCCCCCCCCCCCCTACAGCCGAGAAGCCCGACCGGGGCGAGTGACAAACCCCGAACACTCGATCTCGACATCCGTTCCAAGAGGCAGTGTCTTGACCGCCACGCACGTACGTGCCTAGACAGCGACGTTAGAATAAAAGTCAAGGGTCTCAGTATGTTACAAAAGGTCAAGATACCGGTTTAGGATCAGCGAAGAAAGAATTGTAAACCTCGTTCACCGCACCGAAATCTCCCATATCCGCCAAGAAAATGTTCACTTTCACCGCATCCTGAAGGCTGGATCCACCGGCTTCAAGGACGGCTCCCAGGTTCTGAAGCACTTGTTTCTGTCCCATAGTGTATCAACAGAGTGCACTCCATGAAATATACAGGAAAACAAATGAAATGAGACTCACCGTTCGGTTTTGGATCGAGCCTTCGACCATCTTTCCCGTGGCAGCATTCACCCCCACCTGTCCTGAACAGTAGACGACGTCGCCGACCACGATTCCTTGCGAGAGAAAAGGTGGAGGCAGGGGAGCCTTGTCGGTGCTGACAGAAACCCGTGCTGCTTTGGACATGCTGCGCTGCTATTGCCTATGGGACTGGAGTATATGGCTATCTGGACGAGATCATTGAAGCGGAGATGGAATCTCGTTTAGCGTTGACACTCACGGACTTCACGATGTCTCCAGGGCGGGGAAAGAAGCGGTTACCCCACTAGGTAAACCCTGACTAAGAACGGAGTCCACCACGCTGCACTCCAGGACAGCGTGGAATGAGGAATCCCATAGAAGGCTACAGGCATACTAAATATACAGAAAAAAAAAAGAACAAAGAAGCAAGCTGACCACACGGTAGATACCTCAGGCCACGAGTTCTTGGGCACGGTCAGGTGATGTCACGTCGTTCCTTCCCTCTCGACGATGCTCAACCGAACTGAACCCAACACAACACAAGATTGGAAAGCTTCAAAACCCTTTCTTTCTCTTTCCAATAATCCTTGAGACGGACCCCATCTTTCTTCGAGATATGGATCCTCTTCCAATTGATTCGGTAGAAGAAATGCACGCGGCTCATCCATCGCTTTCCCTATACCAATCTCTGGGGCTACAAACACTTACCCTGAACTCATAATTGCAGATTGTAATCACAATCTAATTAAAGAAATAACCTGGCAATCCTGGACGCAGTACAACAAGAGTCTAGGAGATCTTGCGAAGATTGGTTTTGTATCAGCCCATTCACCTTGCACTCCAGTCTGCGCCGCCCTTGGCATTCAGCTGTGCCCAACACCTCTTATATAGACGAACGAGGGGATTAAGTCGATCGATACTCAGCCTTGCTATAGCTGCAGTATAGATGGCCTTAGATTGGTCAAGAGGTGCAACTAAATTAGGGGCTCGCTGCATTGTAACATCACCCATGGCTTTTAAGCGCCCTCTAGGCGCTCTAGTCCTCAACCCCATCACGCCAAATTCCAACTCATTGACCATAATCAATCTGATAATTATAAAGGACATGGCCAAACGTGCTTGCGAGACACTCATTTCTAACTTATCTAAATTTCCCCGCACTTGCATCTCAAGTGCTTTCAATGGTATCTATTGAGCAAATAATGGCCGGCCTCATGCAGAGTCTTCGACAATTACTCTCATGGAACAGAAAATCGGGCTATGCGCCGCCAAATCGAACATCACAGAAAGCCGCAACAGCCCAATTAATGAGTCCGAGAAAAGAAAGAATCCTTAAAACAACTCTGTTGCATACCGTTCTAGATGTTGCCTCGAAAGACCAGGGTAGCGATGGTATCACTGAACTTTGGGTGCCGTTCGTCTTGCGTCGAGAAGGCATGGTTCTATTCTTGGGCGTGTTCATCGCTCTTCTAGTCACTTTGGTATTTTTATACATTTTTTCGAACCGAAACCACGGCCTTGTGACTTTGAAACAAGAAGACCTACATTATCTATGGACCTATGGACCAACTGCCGGTGGGAGCGCTCCTAGAAGCACAAGCATTGTATCTGTTCCTGTGACTGATGAGCAATACAGTTTTCATGGTCCTCGCTGCATTTTGGTCTGTGGTGCAATATCGGGCCATGCAGCTAATGCCATGGTTGTTGATGCTGCGCAGCCCACGGTGTCCTTCTGATGGAATCTTACTTGATTATCTTTCAGACTGGGTCATGATCAGTCTTTACAAATCTATAAGGCGGAAGCATTTTTTTATCACCTTTACGATCCTGGGCACCCTTCTCCTTACCGGTGCAACGGTAACTTCTACTGGCCTGCTGACCGTCCAGACGATGCGCTTTGATCGAGAGGCTTCGATGCGCGTTCCCTGGGGCTTTAATGGCTCTGATTATGACCCCGACACGGTAGACTCCCGCGCGTATGCAACGCAGATGGCGGTAGAGCTATTCGATGGATCACCGCCTCTTGGACTTCAAGAGAACCATGCCTTTTCTCCTTTCTACGCCGAGAGTGGACGCGCTGGGGATACCTTCATGTCCAAAAATTTATCCCAGGCTACCGTGGATGTTTTTACAATGGAGCTTGATTGTGAAGATACACCTATCTCAACCCCACAGAGAGACGTGATTGCAACACACCCGAGAGACAAAGATTGCTGGCATAATTATGGCGCCGCAAATTTTGACAGCGATCCAAGAGCGATATACGAGGATCCTGAGTATCGACTGTACATGAAGCTTCTCGGATGCAAACGCCAAGAACTCCATTCAAGCTCGCAGCCCATACGAGAGATCGACTGGCGTATATGGGTGGTGTTGAGCCATCTCGAACCTAACGCGACCGTTGTGGACACAGGGAGATGGACTTTAGCGTATGGACCTGAAGGACCTTACTACAATAAATCGACTGCTTTTGTTTCGTGGAGGTTTCTAGCGAAAGTGTGCACCCCACGGTACACAATCCGCAAAGCTCTGACTAGTATATCATACACCAACGATAGCAGCCCTGCTGTCGGCACGATTGATTTTGACGAACAGGGCGAAGCCGATACTATCCCAGGTGTGTCAGCTCATGATATCTTGTATGGAGTTTGGCACTCTTTGTCCGTTTCCACAAAATCGTCTCAGACCCCTGTCGCGTTACTGCTATCGGCTGATGAGAACGGCAAGGCGCAATACTGGGGTACAGATCGCCTTCAACGAGAGCTCAAACAGAAGGTATCCGCTATGGGGGCCCAGGTTGCCCGCCAATATATGCTGAAACCGGCCGACATTGTAACCCGCGGGAGAGCTAACAGTTTGGTAAAACGGCTTGTGGTACGGGAATTGGCCTTTGGGCTGGTGACAACAATTCTCGGGCTTCTTGTCGCCATTGCGAGTGGTCTTATCATCGTGTATCTCCCGGCAGCAGCCTGCCCTCGTGACCCTGGTTCAATTGCTGGCTTGGCGACTATTCTGTCAAGAAGCCCGGAGATAATGGAACATTTGACTGATATGGGCTCTAAACCAATCTCTGCGATTACGGCTCTGATATCTGACCAGAAGCATGGCGTATCTGCTACGCGTGAAGGGGATTTTGTGATCACCATACATCGGGTGTCGTCTGCAAACAGGCGCCGATCCACAGGAAATGACCAAATCGAGTGGTGGCGTCCCCTCTCGGTGAGAATACCGGTGCGCTCCTTGACATTTGGCATTCCCTTGGCTTTGATATGTACTCTCGAGAGTCTTTCACAGCACTCAAAAAGATCCGGGGGCATAGCTCCGATTGAAGATGAGATCTCGCCAGTGCGATACACATGGACCTATATTCCAGCATTGGTCATGCTCGCGGTGCGGATCCTGTTCCATGATCTTGAATCCTGTGCCCGAATCTTCCAGCCGTACAATTGCCTTCAGCGAGCCCACGCAGTGCCTCGGATGAGTATCCTGGAGGATTACAAAGGCAAACTCTCTCTAGTGGTCTTACTGAATGCGGCACGTAAGCGGCATTGGGCGCTGGCAGCTGCTGCAATGGGAGTGCTGGTGTCATTTGCTCTCCCAATCGCCGTGGCAGGCCTATACACCACCGACACTGTGATGCAACCTATAGAAGTTAACCTCACCCGACTGGACCGATGGAGGTTCAAGGACTCTAACCATGTCCCATATACAGACGTGCGGGCCAAAGACAATTTGCTCGGAGGCTTGCTGCTATATCTTGATGATGTCACCGAGCCACAGTGGACGTACCAAAACCTCGCCATTCCGAAAGTCGTGCTTTCCGATCTATCGATGGACCCAGGATATTTTGATGCCCGCTTACCTGCAGTGCGTGGCAGTTACGCTTGCCAGCATATTCCCCCGGATCAGATCACCTGGGAGATCAAGGGACCAAACAAGTATATAAAGGATGCGGATCCTTCATCTCGCATGATTTATCCCACTTACACAACGCAGAAGGTGTGTACAGGGTTTGATCAACCCTCCATAGTGCCATTTAATGTCGAGCTTCCAGAATCCGGAGGTTATCTCGTTGGCAGGTATAATACGGAAATCGATGACTGTCCGCAATATATGGAGATGTTTGGTAAAGCCAATGGTACTCGGGAGGAAGATATAGAGGACTTTTTCGTTCTCGGATGCTCGCAGCGCCTGGAACAGGTGGACGTGGACCTACGTTTGTCTCTTCCTTCATATAACCTGGATCTCTCCAAGACACCAACTATTGTCGCAAACTCTAGCAAGATGCTTGTAGAGCGTTGGCTTAATCAATCGTCCATTTTCGAACCTGTCCTACCCAACACAACAGACGCCTTGCTGGACTTTTCTATGGGAAACAACGAAGATACAAATCTATCAATGTTGGACCGCACCCTTCGAGCTTCGATATACGGCATCAACGGGACAAAGAATCCGGATGATTACCTTGACCCGACAAGGTATATAGAGAGAAAAAACTGGGTCATCGGCATCGTGACAGCGCAGACCCTAAACAGCCATGCCCGGGTGGAATTGAACACATCGGAACAGCATGTCATTGGCACGGCGAATCTGTTCCGGCCGCGTCTTTATGTCGTCCAAAGCCGCGTATCTACTTCCATCCTCGAAGGGGCCCTTGCGGCTATGGTCCTCTGTGGGGCAGCAGCAATCACGCTCATGAAGACCCGGCACGTTCTCCCCAAGAACCCAACCACCATTGCTGCAGTGGCCAGTCTCCTAGCCGGGTCGGAAATGATGAAAGAGAACGTGATCCCGAGGGGCTCAGAGTGGTGCGACGACAAGGAGCTCAAAAGACGCCGGGTCTTTGAAGACCTCACATTCAGCATGAAATGGTGGCCTGGGCAGAAAGAGCCTGCCGCCGCCGACGATGACGACGAAGGGCCCGAGACTCGTTCGAACGGGGCCGAGAACCCAGCTTCGAGAGCAAGCTCACGTTCGAGATCGAATGATGAGTCTACTCTGAGGGAGAGTTCCCATTCAAATGCCGGCTCTACTTTGAGGGGAAGTTCTGTTTCGAGTGAACATCGTTCCATCGGGGAAGATCATCTTCCGAACGAGGCCGTTCAGGAAGAAGAGCTTTCTCTTATTGAGGTGCCATCAAATGAGGCGCTGGCTGGTGACGCACTCGATCAGGATCAAAATCCTACTTCGGGTCAAGAACGTCCCCGAGACCGATTCGGGATCGACGTGGATCAGCTGGCGGTATCGGTATAGGACATGGTGTTTTTGTATAGCAATAGGACAAACTAAGACTGACTTTTGTTATTTGCTGATTTTGACGAATATACGAGATGATGTAATGAGACTTGCTGGTATCTAATCATAGCGTGTTTATATCAACCAATGAACAAGATGACAAATTGTCGTATGAAAATCTATTCAATAGCTATGTGATAACCCTTGATATAAACTTGTCTAGTAGAAGGAAAAGAACAACATATGTATATACACCCCTCTATGGGGACATATATGTGCATGTGCAACAAAAAAGCACAGCCACCAACGGACAAACAAGGTATAAAGCACAAACACACACACACACACATATATATGAAAACACGACATCAACATCTATAAACAGCCACGCAAAAAGAGACTTCAAAGGTAGACGGGCAGACAATAAATCACATGTTATCCTCACCCCAATGACTCCTTGCTTTCATATAAGCATCATGCTCCCCTTTCCCCTCTTCAGCCGACATCCCGAGCCCCAGACCCCGTTCGATCCACTCCTTGCTGCCCATCTCGGAGAGACGGGAAAGCGCACGCGCGAACGCGAAGCGCTCCTCGTCGCCGCTGAAGATAGAGGTCGATTTGAGCGCCTGCATCGAGAGACCGAGGTCGTCCATCATCATGCGCATGGCATCGGAGAGGTCGCTGCCGTCGGACTCGTCGAGGGAGTCTTTCATTTCGGTTTCAGAGATGAAGATGTTCGTGAGGGGAACGGCGGATGTGAGGACGAGTTTGGCCTGGTTGGTGGTTGTGTGTTAATAATGTGGAGATTTCAATGGGTTTCTAGGTTCTAGAGAGGTAGAGATGAAGGGAGGGGAAAAAGAAAAGACATACCCTGCTTTCGTAGACGGCGTCGATGAAGGTGATGAATCGTCGGGCGAGGTCTCGTTGGGTTAGGTTCATGCCTGGCACGTCGGTGACGATGAAAGCGTCGTAGTTGCGCACGAGTTCGAGGTAGTCGGCGGCTCCGGTGGCGCGGCCGATCAGCTGGTTGAAGCTAAATTGCGCGGCTCGGCCACTGGCCATGGGCACTTCGATCTTACGGCCCCAGACCTCCTGGGTCGCGGCGTGCGGAGGGTCATTGATGGGGTCGCCCAAGAATTCGAACCACTTCTGCGCGTGACGCCCCGCGTCCTCGTCTAGCGGGTGGTGGTAGACGCCGGATGGAGGGCGGGGGATCTTTCGGTAGTCGGTGGGGGAGTTCAGGTTGATCACGTCGAGGGCGGTCTTGAGCAGGTTGATGCAGGGGATGAACGACTCGCGCTGAATTCCGTTCTTGTACAGGTCATCGGGATGTCGGTTGGACGTCGTCACGAGCGCAACGCCGTGGGCCATGAGGGACTCAAGCAGCCTTGGATAGGTCAGTCCAGTCGTCCGGGTTAGTTTGACTTGGAGTTGGAGGCTCACCGTCTCAGAATCATGGCGTCGGCTACATCCGTACACTGGAATTCATCGAAACACAACACGCTGGACTTCTCCGCAATGTCGGCGGCCACGAGTGGTAGCGCGTCGAAGTCGTTGCCGAACCGCATCTTCACCACGTGCACCCGCTTGTGGACATCCTGCATGAAGTTGTGGAAATGGATTCGCGTCTTAGACGAGATATTGGGCGGCAGAGTGTCATAAAACAGGTCCATAAGCATGGTTTTCCCGCACCCAACATCACCATACATGTACAGGCCCTTGGGGAGAGATTTGGGAATCGCCAATTCCTCCTGTTTACCCCGTCCGAAGAGGGAGCCGAGAAACGACGCCTTGGGTTTCGGGTCCAGCGATTCGACACTCGGATGAACGACCGGGGGAGGGTTGTAGTGTCTCAGACGTTCGTACAGGTCTTGGAGTTGCCCGATGATCTCTGGAAGTGCACCCCAGCGTTAGCTCGCCTCTCGTTATCACTCTTCAGATCCAACGCGGGGGACAAAGACAGCAGCAGCAGCACATACGTCGTTGATGAGGGTCATCCCGCAACCGACCCTGCTGCACCCGTAGATCGTATTCCTTCAAAGGACCGCCTTGCAGCCCAGCTGCGGCGTCCGCGGGTGTGTCCTCGCCGGCGTTGGTCGCGGCCTCGGTTGCGAACCGTCGCACGTACGGGCTAGGCTGAAGCCGTTGCGCGCTCAAGCGACCGGTTTGCGGTATCGTCGCCCGACAGGCCCGCAGGTGATTCGGATGCTGGTGCACATGGCGCCTGGATTCCCGAGAGTACACTCGCTTCGTCCGCCGAGGAGTGGCACGGAGCAAAGATGCGTTGCTCGGCCTCAGCGCGCCCGGCAAGATGTCCGCGCACAACTTTGCGGACGACCCGCTCACCGACATTTCGACACGAATATGTTCAGGGAGCCCCGGTGTAATTTCCTCGCGCTTCAGGTCAACACATGCAGTTGTTTGGCGGGGGAGGTTGCGACGGTGTTGTTATGGGAGAGCCGAGGTCGGGAATTTTCAAGGACAAGACACGCTCTTCTCCCCGGCCGGGAATTATTCGGCGAAAGGTCAAGTGCGGCGGCCACGCGGGCGTAAAAAGGCGGGGAAGGAGATGGTATGCGTGCAACCAAGTCTAGTCCAAATTGCGCAAAGACAGGATAGAATAAACGCAACTCACGTCGAACCCCAGCAAGAAGGGAGGGAGCGAACGAGAGAGAGAAGATTAAAAAAGGGATCGATTTAATTTTGCGGCGAAGAACCCAATTCCGCGGCGAGCAAAAAAAGATCCGACGCGGGGTCATGTGACCGGGGATCCGGCACCGCCCGATTTCGTCGGTTCAGGGTATATGTACATCCATCACTACCAGAAGCCGTTGGACCGAGGAAAAAAGGGGATGAAACCCACAGTGGGTGTATATGCAAGTGAGAAATTATGTACATGGGATCAACTGTGCATCAAGAAGGGTATGGAAATCACAATCAGCCAGAAACGGCCCACGGAACAAAACCAGATCAAATGCAGAGAACTTCAAAGAAATACATGATAACATAACGTTTCGGACATCTCGTTCTTAATCATCCGTCAATCAAAAAATCAATACCGGCCCTCGGGAGGGCTGGTCGTTCATCAGAGGAAATTAGAGACCGTAACACCGATGCACCCGTGAATAAAAAGCCGTGGCAAATAAGAACCAGGGAACAAAAAATAGAAGAAGATAGAGAGAAGATATGGCACGTGTGGCGGATGACCAAAAAATCTATCGCAAAAATGCCGAGGGGAAATAGTGTTTCTATGCAGAACATTGCCGGCGTACGCTTCTTTAAACGAGGCCAACGTAGAGGGTAAGTTTGGAGTTTCGTTGGACGGCAGTGTCGAGGTCGGTGTCGCTGATCAGATCGACGTATGTGCCGGACGGCTCATCCTTGTACTGCACGGACATGCCTTCGTGGATCTTCAGGCGATCCATGAGTTTCTCCTTGAGCTGCTGAACGCTGATGTCGCTGGGGACTCGGATGGCGATCAGATCGTCCTGGAAGAACACCTTGACTTTCATGGCGCCGCTGCTCGAGGTGGTGGACACTTGCGTGATCGAGCTCGGTTGCCGGTTCATCGAGGGTGGACCGCCATTGCTGGCCGACAACGACGGTTGTCCCCGCTGGTGCGATCCCCGTTCTGCGCTCAATTGGGCCTGGGAGGACTGGCGAGAGGCGCTACGCGACGGCTCGTGAACCGAGGAGTGGTGGGAGCCGCCAGAGAAGCGCGCGTCCTCCCCGAAAGCGTTGGGGTCGATTTCGAAATCGCCGGCCCGAGGAGCAAAGAGTTGCCGGAGGAGTTGACAGCGGGCGATGTGCGGCGGCATAGAGAGGAGTTTCTTGACGTACTCGTCAAGGTTCTGTCGACGACCGTTGGAAATTGCGTCGGTGACGTGCGTGACGGGGCCCGGCATGAAGGGCAACGTTCGCGCTTTGCCTCGGTTACCGGCCTCCTCCTCAAACTGGGTCAGAAGGGCGATCTGGAAGTCGTAAAAGTCATGGTAGTAACGAGACAGCTCCCAGCAGCGACCGTCTTCCATTTTGGCCTCGATGATATACCAGTACTTGTCGTTGTCGAAACAGTACCGTGGGATCGACGCGGCCACGGGGGCCATGAGGGATTGTTGGTGGTAGTTCTGTGGCGGGGGTTGGGACATATGTTGCGGCGCCACCGAGCCTTTGCTGGCGTTGCGGTGATGGTAACCCTAGTGTCGCTTCGATTAGTACGTGTCGACCACCCGACGACCCCCAGAATCCCCCCGATAGAGGACAGAGTTGCGACTCACATAGGAATTGCCATTCTGACTCAGATGGCCCATGCTCTGATGGCCAACGGACATCTTTTCAACGCCCGAGGTGACGGATTGCATGGGAGATCCGACCGTATCAATCTTGCCCAAGGTGATACTGCTGTTCTTGTACTCGGCAGTCATTTTCTTCCATTCCTCCACCTTAGGAACGCCAGCACGCCGGACGGCATCCAACGGATCCGTCACGGCCTGGCCCGACTGCATATCGCGCAGTTCGATAAAGGACACGGGAATCAGGCCGGGACCGCCCAAACGGCCGATGGGCTTAGCGACGAACCATTCGGGGTTTGACTGGGCAATGACGATGATGGCTTCGCCGGCCTTTGCGTCGAGCTCATCGGGTCGCTCCGCTTGGAAATCGTATTGTACAATGCCGTAGACCATGGGGCTCGACCCGCCCTTTCCGAAAGCCGACATCCTGAGAGGGTTCTGCTGCTTCGGCGGGGAGACAAAATCAGATACAGGAAACGCGGCGGGAGCTCGATCTGAGAAACCGGAGTCGTGAGGCTCTTTCTTCTTATGAAGGTCGATGGAGCCACCGCTGTCTCTTTCGTTCTTGCCAATGACCTCAAAGAATGACACCGGCACCAACCCCCTGGCAGTAGGGATGAGGGGATTGCACGCTTCGTACCAATCCAAGTCGTCCTCCCTGCTGATAACGTGAAAGAAATCTCCCTTGCTGAATGCCAACTCCTGGGAGTTCCCGGGCTCTGGTTGGTAGTCGTAAAGAGCTTTGATGACCTACGTGCAGGACAGGGATGGGGTCAATAAATGCGGGTTTAAGACGGGGAAGGATGCAGGCCGACTAAAGCCGGGTGGTGGACGGGGAGGGAAAATAACACGAAATACACGAAACACCGAAATTACGGCGAATTCGAGACCGGCAGAAGAAGAACAATAAGAAGGGGAACAAGAGAACGAGAGAATGAGAGAATGAGAATGACGACAGACGAGGGGGTGAAAGGATGGCTGGAGAGGAAGAGAAACAAACAAACAGAGATGTAAGGTTTCAAAAGGTAGTAGTAACATTTAACAGAAAGGGACGGAAAAAAAATTAAAGGGAAAAAAAAAAAAAAAGAAAATTAAAAAAGACGCGCGCCTTACGTACCTTTTTCGGAGGCAGAATGGCAATGGCGGATTTAGGCGTAATGGAGAGGTGGTGGGGTTTGGGGTCCTTTTCCCCTTTGAGAGAACGTCTGATAGCCTAATGGAAGAAATTGCGAAGGTTAGGGTATGAGGTAGTTGCAAATCAAAAGATACCAAAGTCAATGCCGCGTTAAAGAGAAAGGGGAATCCAGCAACAAGCGACAATCGAGATAAACGAGGGGCGGGAGAAGAGGGAGAAGGGAAAGGGAGAGGGCGAGAGCGCAAGATGAAACGAGGGGCGACGCTGCGAACAAACAGTCATAAACACACACCTTCATTCTTCAGGCGAACCAACTTCTTAGTGGCCGAGGTTTCACTTTGCACGTTTCGTTTCGGTTCCAAGAAAAGAGGCAGGAAAATAAAATAAAACAAATCAAACCCCCTAAAAATCATACACCATCCAATATAACTCTAAATAATGTATCCGCCGCCTCAAAAAGGAAGGAGAATGGAGACCGACGGAAAATTAAGCGATAGCGATATCGCGAAATATAGAGACAGATAGGCAGACACAACAGGCACAGGTAACCAGGCAGAGTGTATGATATGAGAGAGAGAGCGACCAGATCCCAAGAAAATTGATAAGAGAAAGACAGAGGGACGGGTTTGGATATGGACGAGGGAGAGAAAGAGAGAAAGAGATGGGGAAGGTGGGGAGAGAAAGGAGACAACGAAAGAGTGGGAAAGAGAGAGAAAGAGAGAAGGAAAAGAAAGGAACGGGATAAGGAGTGAAAGAGAAGGATGGACGGTGGTGATAGTCCAAGTCAAGTAGGAAACGCAGCAGCGTAGCAATCAAGCGCGTCCGGCAGTCAGAATATGATGGAAGTACCAATCAGTGGTGGTGATGATGATGATGATGGTCTGGTCAAATAATAACGATTATCCTGGAATAAAAAAAAATTAAAAATTAAAAAAGAAAGCCAGAAAGAAAATGACTGGTACTTGCTGTGCCTCTTCTGGAAATCTTGATTCCCTGTCACGCTCTTTTTTTTTTTCTTTATCGTTTTTACTTGCTTTTTGCCTTCTTTTTTGTTTTTGTTTTTTTTTTGTTTTTTTTTTTTTTATCTGTTTTGTGTTCCCTGCTTTTTTCCCCCTCTCTTCTTTTCTTTTTTTTTGGCCCTCGTGTTTCAACTACAACCACGGGTGAATCAGCGTGGTCGATCAGGAATCTCGCGACGACTCAAAAAACAGAGGCCCGCTTTGTGTCTCCCCCCTGAGATTAGCTGCAATCCGCCCGACTTTGACAGGTTCCAACTCGGTACCGCGATGCCTGTCCGTCTCTGTGTGTGTTCTCCGTTCTCTGTATGCGCCGATGCACATACACCGTACGTACTGGGATGCGGCAGGAACCACTTCGATCTTCTGTCCGTTTTCTCGCCGACCTCTCCTTGCGCGGGGCGACAAAGACGTGAGGTTTGTGGGTGGCTGACGGTGGATTCGGGATGAGAAATGGAATTGGAGAGATGTGAAATTGGGGGGAGGGACCGTGGGGTTTTCCCCTCCGGTGGCGGGTGCACAACGCCTGCCGGTTGGCTGGTCCAAAGGGTAGGGAACACACGGTCTAGGGAAGGCTTCCTATTACCTAGTAGTAGTAGTAGTAGTAGGGAGGGACAGAGAAATGGAAGAGAATGTAAGTCAGCACTCTGTATGGTCTGCACCGAGACCCAGAATGATGTATCCGAAGCGGGTGCAATGTGTCTAACTATCCGATTTGTTAAATTAACTGTTGACAATAACTAGATGGAGATCAATTGCAAGTGATAGATCCAGAAGACTGACAGATTGATTAATTTGATCGATCGGGGTACTTATCTCCAACGTATCAACACCGTACGGAGTAGAATTCTGGATAGTACCGTACCGTACCAGGGGAGCAGTGGAGCTTCTTTTCTTTTCTTTTCTTCT